ACGTGACTCATTGGCCGAAATTATAATTCGAGCACCCATAACCAAGACCTCTCTTCTTTTAAATATGATTGGTTCATGTTGTTAATTGTTTCTTGGCCTTTTTGACCTTTCTTAACAGTTAAAGTCTTTTTACAATTATAATGTACTTATATCAATTAATTACAATATTATATAACCTTTAATTAAAATTCTTTACCTTAAAAATCGGCATTATCAGGATAAATTGTGTTGTAATTATATTTAATAATTTCATTTCTTTTATTATAAGAATGTTGAACATTTTATAAAGCAAATTAACAGCATAATTTATCAATATATCTATTAATATTTAAAACATTTTCAATATTATTTATTGTCAACACCATATTCACTATATTTAACTTTACAATCTCACTTATACTCACTCCTATAGACATAATATACTATTTGTTAAAATTTATTCTAAGTGAAAACACAACTTATTCATAGACAATGTATTTATTGTACTAAAGACTGAAATTGCTGTTTTTAAAAATTTCTTACGCTTTATATGCAAATAGTTTTATAATCCTTCTTTTGCGACAATATTTTATTTACTTAATATTGTTGCTACCATTTTATTCTATGTTAAGTATATCACATCATACAATAATTATAATATCATTTTACTTTTTTAATGTTTATTTATTAATTAAAAAAGTTTAAATAAAAAGTTTATTGAAAGTGAGAGAAGTAAAGAGATTACACAGCAATTGTGACATATTTAGGATTAAGGGAGGTAAAGCTCAAAATGCTAATCATTGCGGCGGATTTATGAAATTTGGCAAAAACCCTGCTGCGCCCTCGGGAATTAAAATTGACTTATAGAAACATTCCTAAAAAATGTCAAATATGACGCACCTTTAACACTGGAAAAATTGGTTAGGTAACGGAAAAATTGGTTAGACGCAAGATTTAGAGTACAAAAAAATTTTTTAGGGCTCATTTTTGACTGTTCACTAATAAATTTGGGAAATTTGGTGACTAAAAGACTGTCAAATATTTATTTAATTTGACATGACGGACAAATTTAGGGTATTTCATAAATCCGCCGTGATGTATTACTTTTGCTAACAACCATAGTAATGTATTAATTATTGTGCGTGCATTATATTATTAATTGTATAAATAACAGATAGAAATATATGTTATTGCACGTGCGTTCCATTTATCAAGCACGATACCTGTGCAATAATAATATTAATATACGGACCGGAATGATCATATTATTAAGCTTTTTATACTTTCATACGTAATTATAACAAATTCAATCATTAAATAATAAGCATGATGTGCTAAATATTGGTACAACCTGTCCTATAAAACCGTATATTAATAAAAGATAAACTTTTTCTTTCTTTCTTATTCTTAATTTCAACGATACTGCCTTAGAATTATTATGAATATAAGTAATTTAGTTGATTTAATATATAGTGGAATTTTACAATGAAAATTACAAACACCTAAAATAAATATTTATAATAAGGCTGTGTGATAATACGTGAAACTGTCAGTCGACTCAAGAAATCTAAAAAAAATTAGACTAAAAAGTCTTTTATGTAATCAATCAAATGACTGAAAATACAACTATCATATATGAACAGGCTCATTATAAAACTATAAAACTCAATATTTTTGTTTCAAATGATCGTGAAATTAGCATGGAACGGAATAAGCTGATCACGTGGACAGCTGATTTCATGTACAGGACACTTTGCAAATTTTCATGCCGACTTGTCGGGTTGCCGGCAAATTGAAAAAAATAACGAACACATGATTTAGCTAATATCACGTGACACCATTTTTTGGATTCAAAGTGTAATCCCTGGCAAAAATTTGCCAATTGTCCCTAACTAAACACTTATAAATAGTTCAACTCATAAATTATCCAAGAGCATTCCGAAATTTTTCTGCGATACAGGCGGGCTGGCCGTCTCAATAAATAAAATGGAAACGTGAAAGGTACAGGGGGTGATACCGCAGGGTGCTCTTCAACTCATAGGTTGATCACATGATTCGTATCTTCACTTGTGCGCAGCGCACATTTTAGAAAAATATCCTTATGTGATTGGGCGCATATGCATTACAGAAGCAAAAAAGGAAAAAGTAACAATGCACTTGCCGATCATTTGAGCTCTTTGCAGGGACGAAAAATAAAAAATGAGTTAATATTATTTCTGAACAAATTATAATATTTGGAACATTTTGGAATATAAATATAAATTTAATTTTTTGAGGTAATTTTATTCCTTTCTATTGCAAAGTGCATTTATTGTTGTAATTTTGTAATTTCCTTATTTTAAAAAAAAAAATTAGTAACACGTTTATTAATTAAGAACGATAATTAAATCGATTACATAATTTTAAAACACCTAGAAAATAAAATAAAACATATTATAATATTCTCTATAACTAACCCCAATCTAATCCTAAAAAAAAAACTATATAATCTAATCTAACTATCTATAAAAACAAATCTAATTATTTAATTTTAACTATCGTACTCCCTCCATTGTTGCTTTATCGAAGATTCTTCCGTTATTCTAGAGATTATCTTATCTTTAGTTACTAATTTAAAACTGCACGTATTTTTTTCAGGGCCTTAAATTTTGTAATGCCAGCCAATGTTCATAAAACCCCGGTTGTGTCTAATAAATCTTTTTTTTTTGCGTAAAACTTGCTTTAATTATACTTTCAACTAAAAGACCCTTTTTTGAAATTTGATCAGAACCTTACGCCTTGCACGTACTTTTTAATATTCTACTTAGATTACTAACTAACGCAACAAATACTTTTTGTCCATTTTGATCTAGATCACGGTGATGATTAGAAGTGATGATTATAATTGATGATTATAATTGATTATGAGTTAGGTAGGTCACTTTTTTTTTTAATTACAAAAAAATGCTATAAAATAATATATAAATAATATTACTTTTTTATCTCCAATCAAACAATATGTTCTAATGTACGAACTTAATCAAGATAAAAAACCATAATGTGACTTCACGTAAAAAACGATGAAATCAAGAACATACCGCGCCTCCATCAATGATCGAAATATTACTTTGCAGAAACTTTTAAAATCGAAACCATATCGTAACTATATCAAAACTTTATCATAGAACTTATCGTAAAGATTTAATACCATATCGTGACCAAATCTTGATTATAAGTTTTCGCGGATCGTATGTATAAGGTTGACGCATATTAAGGAGATCGTCACCTGATATAACCGGGTCGTACAAAAATCGTATCGAGCTTAGTCCACGTTATATTCAATGTATATTAGAAATATATTAAAGTTGTATTTGATGTATAATAAAATTGTATTTAATGTATATAAAAGTTATATTTAATTTATATTTAACATATCGTGAAGTTGCATTTAGTTTATATAAAAGTTATATTTAACGTATCGTAATATTGCATTTAATTTATATAGAAGTTATATTAAACATATCATAAAATTGTATTTAATATGTATTAAAGTTACATTAAATGTACATTAAAGATAAAATTAATTTTTATTTTAGATGTCGCAAATAAATCGTAAAGTGTTCTATTCTAAATCCAATTGTACGTGTTCTAAATCATGAATAAAATGAAATTGTTCTATGAACAATAATTATAACATCACCAGACCACAAATAATAAACATTAAAAGGCCTTGAAAAAATACAAGTTTAGCATATACAAATCATTACTTGAATAATGATCGCCTTCGATGCATTCTTCGTCTTTACAACAATGAACGAAATGCACTAAATTAATCGCATTTACTAAACTAATAGAAAAAACTCTTAGCTGATTAGTATGTGTCATTTGTAACAGATACATTGGACAACCTAGCCTTGTTCGATTTAATTCCTCAAACCAATCAACGATAACAAATGCAAATCAAAGGTCGTTCTTTTGATGACAAAATATCGCTCTTATAATCACAAAATTGTTTCCATTTCCGAAATTGATCGATACAACATCCCCGATATGTAAAAGGCGCAGAATAGTATTATCTCTTTCATTTTCAAAGATAAAACTCGCAAATTCGAAGAATGATGGAGTGATGTCAAGTATCACAGAATCGTCTCCAAGGTCTTCATAAGCTAGTTTCAGTTCTGCATAAATATTCAACAATGGCGATATCACAACGTTTCTTCGGAAAATGCGCTTCTTTAACAATATATTAGAAATTAGTTCGTCTGGTGAATAGACTTTAAGTACCATTACTAGTTAATAAAATATTCATTTTTAACAATTATAGGATAATATTATACTATACCTTCGCTCGCATCATCATTAATATCGATATTATCTTTTGTAATAATGAACCAGTTGCTCATCAAGCGTCGCAGATGTTTTGGTAGATTCATAAATCCACTGTTCAGTGTAAATAACCTCAAATCTATGCCACAGTCTAATAAATGCCGTATTGCAAACAATGTGGTGTAATTCTTTAATAAATCCAAACTCACATTTTTTAGATTCGTTCAGGGTACAATGTTCTTGAATAGTCGGTGAACCATCTCTTTTGTTCCGACACTTGTGTTTAATAACGTCGCATAATTTTTTGCATGTAATAGCAGATGAAAGCTGGAGTGTAGATTCAGTAAATTCTCAAAATCTTTGAATGCCTATTTGTAAACGAATGAAATAATTAGGATTAATTGCGCAATATGACAATAAATGTAATAAATAAATTATATTGAATAGAATTATGAGTAATTTTTTCTTTTCATTGTATTTCGATTTGTTGGTTCCTCCAATTATCTTTTACTATTTTGCTATCATTTATTACACTGTACAATAGCGCGTTATACTAGAATTAATAATAATACCTGTAATAAAAGAATTCGTTAATTACATAAGCATTCGCACAATTCACTATATTCTTCCGCTGTAAAGGAATCTTTAAACACCATTGCCATCGTTTTTGCCATTACTATCCAACATTTAAACCATAGTTTTATAGCATGATCACTTCAAGTAACTCCCGTTCGACGTTGAAATAACTCAAGTTCCAAGTTCTTAAAATGTGTATTTTTCAAAAATCTATTAAGAATAAAAGGAAACATCATGGTCAGTTGTAAACAGTCCGACATCATGAAACTGTCAATATGTGATATCAGGTTTGGCAATTTTCGCCAAGTCTTTGGATATTCAAAGGACTTCCAAACCGTAATAAATTTTGATTTTCCTTCTGATGAAAGTGCTTCGATTGTAATCTTGAGAAATCTCAGAACTTTTCCAGCCGTAAGATGATATGCGTCTTGGGGAGACTGTAGATGTCTTTCCCTCTTCAATTGATCGAGTATTGATGGATTTAACCGTAATCCGTATTCAGCCGCGATTGCTTTACGTTCTGTAATAGTTTGTGCCGCATATATTTCCTCAAATTGCTTATCAGACTGGTGATGATAACGGGAACCTAACAGAAAATCAAAGTTATTGGATGTCAGAGAATCTTTGGTCATATTACAAGTCCGACATCCCTTATTAGCGCCATAACGTTTGACTCCGGCCATATCATTCCCTTATGGCAAATCGGCAGTGGTAACACCAAGACTTGCAATAACGATGCATTCATTTCCTCGAATGTCCATAATTTTTCCTTTCTCTAACACCTTCATTTCTGTAACGAATGGTTTGATAAATTCATCGAAGGAACCACCAAAAGGAACGAATCCTAGCATGAAATGGTTTTTGAGATGATGTCTTTCGGTAAGCGGCATATTGCCTATTTGAATGTAAACGCCGCCTAACGAATGATAGATGTTGCGGAATGTCCCAAAGTCGTCATAGTACAAATCGATAAATAACTTGTAGATCGGAAGAGATGTTCTTGGTTCTTCCAATGTCACGAATTCCGAAGGATGTTGATATGAATACTTGACATGCCTTATCTTCCAGTGACCGTTATGTTTGTAGAGAATTTCCCTAATTTTATACGAATGAGGATCATTTGCAACATTATCATAAAGAATAGAAATGTTTAACTGATTGACTATTGCTTGTGATTCGACGTTCATGATTGCATCATCCATCTCTCGGTCCATAAACCAAAGTTCGCCTTCTTGGGATCTTTGTTTTCGATTATTGCTTTGTAGATTTCCTGGTAAATCTTTGAATATTAAAATTCGTTGGATTTTAATCTTTAACTGGCCATCTTGTTGTATAATCGCTAATATACGACCAAGTCCTTTTGCTTCCTTAGATTCTCTGTATATTACAAAATCTCCCGAGTAATAAATATTTTGAGCGATTGTGATAGACGCTTGACCAAACTTTGGCGATTCCTTCCAAATATTACCGTGCCAAAATTCTTTACTCTTGGTGACTTCCTGGCCCGGTCCGAAGTACATATTATCTGATATTGAAGGATTGTTCAAATATGATGAATGATATCTGTGACAGACAAGTAATACGCTTTTCCGGTGTCTTTAGACGTTAATGGCGTTTTCTTGTTAGAAATATTAATTTTCCGAGATCGTATTGGGAGTAAAGGTAACCTCCGTCTATATTTCCTAAATCGTCGGCTATTTGGCACAACGTCATCTTTTTTGAACTGTGGATGACGGATAATATCAACTAGTTTGTCATATGCTTGAGTAGCTAGTGAAGAATTGCTGTAAGTTATAATTGTATTTTTGTTTGTAAGCTTGAAATGATACAACTTACATATACGATGTTTTTGCATCCAACAAAAAAACAGGGATTCAGTGATATTGTTGAAATATGGATTGAATTCATTTGACTGTGTGAAATGTGGCAGTTGTTCATTATTGAGAGGTTGATCAATGATTTCCTCATCTGATGCTTCTTCGCTTGTTTCTTCATCACTTTCATTTTCATTACCTCCTCTATCACCTTCATATTCGTCGCCCTCATTAAACTCCTCCATCATCCTTTCATATTCACTTTCGAACGCTATATCATCTTCGCTCACTTTTTCACTTTCTGCACTTTTTGTATCGATGGTTGGCGTCATTTCTTCGTCTTCATCATAAATATCTATAATATCATGATCATTACTATCAGTAGCTATGTTATCTAGAAGAATCAAATATTGTTGGAACAAGTGTATATATCATAACGACAAATATCGACATTTACCATTTGTTCTGTTTAACGTCGAAGCTATATTGAATGCGCTATATCGTTGTCTAATATAACTGCGTTGACTAATGTTAGAAACATAATAACTTCGGAACATTTTTTCAAAGTGAAACGTAACCACGTTAAAAGATAAAAATTATCAGTTTTTGAAAAGAATTTAACTTTTGATAAAGTTATCACTAGAAAGACTAAAAAGTAATTCAAAGTTTAAAAAATTTAACTATCTATTAAATTTAAAATTTAAAATTTAACTTCTGTTTAAATTTCACACTAAACGCGTAATTTAAAATTAAACTTTCTTTTTACTAAACGTAGTTAAAATTTAACTTTCTGTTTAAATTTACACTAAAATTAAACTTTTTGTTTAAAATTTACACTACAAAATTTAACTTTTAATTGAAATTTACATTATAATATAAAAGTTAACTTTCGATTAAAAAAAATTCGAATAAAAAAATATATATATTTTCATTAAAGAAAAAAAATAATAATATATTTCGAATTAATATATTTTTTCGATTAAAAAAAAAAAATTAAAACCTTTCTGTTTCAAAGGTAACATTATCAATTTATCAAAAATATTTTTAGAATTTTTCATCTATTTCTTTTAAGGGATTCTTTAATAATAACGTAATACATATATCACAAAAACAATTCGTTAAAATCTATTGTCGCTATTTATGCTATTTATAGTAAACTATTATGCTAATCATTACGTGTTAAGAAAAAATATCAAAATAATACAACGTAATATTATTATTGAACAATTCGAATAATTGTTTTATTCTGATTATTCTAATTATTATTAGAAATTGGTTTGTTACATATGCTATTGGAGTCTATAAAAGTTTAGTCTATTTATAAAATTTAATTGTTCTATTTATTGTATTACAATCAATCTCCTTTTTTTCTTACAATTTTCCCTTACAAACAATCTCCTTTTTTTCTTACAATTTTATAATTTTTAATATTTTTTTCTTACGCACAACTCAAAGTTTAAAGTCGTTTCAGCATTATCATGCCTCCTAAAAAAACTACTCGAGGTCAAAAGAAAAAACAAAATGTTATCCCTATTGACGAAGACGAAATCAGCGATCCTTCAAGTAACTTTTCGTCTTTTACTGTTATTGTAAAAAACTATGCCATATTCTTAATTTTCTTTCTAGTTCCAAAAGAAAATCAAGAACCGGAAACGGATCTAAATAAAAAACCTTCAACTAAAAGACGAGGTCGAAAAAGGAAGGATCCTGTTAACGATAACAAATCTACAAATGATGCCGATCGACAAACTGTATCACCAAATACCAAAACTGTGGCATCAACTTCCAAGACTACCACGAAACGCAGGCGTACAACAGCTGCTATCAATGAAATTTTAAATGAAGACGTTGGCATTAGAGAACCAGCTGCTACCGCCATTGCTGAACTAACTCCGATAAATAAACTTTTAGAATTAAGCGATGATGATGTTCTTTCAGAAGGTCTCTTTTTATCATAATTTGATATAACCTCATAAATTTTGTTTTAACCTTCATAAAATTTTGTTTTAACCTTCTTCAATTCTTTAGATGAAGTTCAGTTTAATAAAAATAGTGCAGATATCGAACGTGAACCTCTAACACCGATTACAAATGATAGTAATAGAATTTATAACAATATACTATTAGATGGGATGGATGAATCCGGAAATGTTGATAGAATTCGTAATAATGACTCATATCGATCAAATGAAATACATGAACCTCGCTATCGTTTACATTATAATACTACACCTGGTCCTAATCATCCTAGAGAGTTTAATGATGATGTTTTTCGTCTGAATCCACAAAAAGTGTTTCATTTGAATACACCTTTTTTTACTAATGATCATAGTGATGCTCGTTCGACCTTCCAAACATCAGAATCCACACTTCCAGCATCATTTTGCGATATGGGAAACATTAATCAAATCTGTTCATGGTTATGTGCAAACCAGAGCATCTTACTACTTGCTTATAATCTTTATTTGTCGATGCAAACACCAGTTGCAACCTCATTCAACTTGGTTACACCAAACGTTAATTCAGCAACATTAGCAACCGGTATACTACAAGCGTTAAGGCAAGAGGACAGAGTAAATACAACAATCATTTATTTTGTCATTAGTTCTTGTTGCTATTGTTTAATAACTTGCATAATTCAGACGAAAGCCAATCGAGACTTTTTAGAAGAATTGAAATGCCTATTTCTTCGCGCTCGAGGTCCTGAAAAGAGCGCTTTCGAAGAATTGGTCCGGCAAGTTTTTAACTATGATCTTAACTCTGCGGAAGGTATCAAGTGTTTGCGTGCGGCCAGTAGGAATTTCAGTGACTTTCGCAATAAATTTCTTGATAATATTGAGGAAGCAGTCACTATATTTAAGAAAAAGAGAGTTGAGTAAGCAGACCATCATTTTATTTGAATTTTCTGTTGCTTATCTACGGATTTTTACCAATTAATTATTTTCACTCACAGAGAAAATGAAAACATCCGTCATTTGGAGGGGCATGAGATAAATTTATTCATCAATGAAAACTTAATGTTAAATATTTTGCAAAGATGGTTAAGCGCAACAAACATGACCGAGTTAAAGGCTAACCATTCTTTGCGGACTTTACAAAAGTTTGTTCAAAGGGCATTTGTTGTAAATTATAATTCTAGAGATGTTGATGCAACGAAGGCTTTGGATAAAATGACAAAAAATATAGCAGTTCCGTCAAGAAACGGCAAGAACATTGCCAGCAGATTGCAATTGTGATTATAGATTTCATGTGTTTTATTATAAGATTTTAATTATAAAAATAAAAAAATATGCGGGCGGTTACAATAGTATATTACAATAAAATGCTATATATGACGTTTTATTATTATTTTTCTTAACAAATACGTTTTCACACTAGTTTTCTTATTAATTTTTACAAAATGATATTTTTACTATTATGTAATTAGTAATTAGTTTTTTATTAATTTTATTAGGTTAAATTTATTAAATAAAAAAAAATTAATCATCGTCAAGTGATATTTAATGCATCGAAAAATTATCTTGAATTGATTTTTTCGGCTAAATTTTGATGACAATAACCATCAATTCACCACCTATTTACCACCTATTCACCACCTATTTAATAGCATTTTACAACTTCGTAAAGATATGTTATCGACAATTTCACAAGATCGTTTGATACCACGTCTTCACATGATGGTTAATAGATCGTTGTGATTTGATGGCGATGTCTTAACTGCATGGTAACAAATCACGGGTTTCTGCAAAGTATGTAACAATTTAAAAAGCTTAAGGGCGAAGTTCGAGGAATTTGTCCTCTATTAATTAATGTTACATGGCAAAGTCATTAACATATATAAAGTCTATGAAGTGAATAGTAAATAATGTACAAAGGGTTCCTTATGTGATAAAATTTTATAGAACAAGAAAAATTTGGAATATTACGCCAAATGATAGACGTTTACCTACGAAACAATTGTTGTATGCGAATGTCTTTTATGACTTGGAAACATTTTAGGTCATCAAGATATAGTTTTTTAAATGTAGATAGATATATATATACGTTATTAGGATATTGTTTCAGGTCTCTTGGAACTTCAAAATCGTAATATGGGTAAACGTCTATCGACCCGCAGCAATTTTTAACTAATAACATACATTCTTGCTTATTTTTTTATAACGCACACTGAACTAGCAAAAAGAGAAAGATGGTTGCACTGAAAATTGGGAAGTTGATTGATTTGACTCTGCATGTATTGTTGATAGAGACAATGCAAAAATCTTAACGAATTATCGGCTCCTGAAATTACAAGAGCATGCGAGAATAAAGCAGAAATTAAGGCTAATTTTGCAACGGATATGTTTTCTTTTGGACCTGTTTTATATTTACTTTCTTGAAACATGTATTTTTAATGACGCAATATTCGATACTTTACGCGCCATGTGATGCTTCTAAATATAAATACATTTAATATCAACCTGATTACCTTTGACATATTTTTGTTTTCTATATGTTCGATGACAAATTATCTTATATAATTAATTTGTTCATTATTTATAATCCGAGTTTTATTTAATAAAAAACGGGATTAAAGTGGTTTCATAAATTTTTGCAATGATATTCTACTTAATATAGTTTTACCAAGTAGTTCTTTTATAATAAAATAAGCGGAACGACCGACCGTAAACGTCAATTATTTAATACGTTTTCTATTGATACCATTTTTTGTTTGCTACTTCACTCTCTCCATCTCAATAGTGTTAACTTAATTAATTAAATTGTTTGATTATTATAATAAAAGACGTCACTTTATTTGAACTGGAATATTTAATTTTCTTAAATTATTAAAAACCATAACGAAATGCAATAATAAGTAGTAAAATTGATAATTGTACAAAGTCTTGACTAAAATTTCAAAATAAGCGATTTTTACATTTCATAATCCATTTAAATTGATTCTTTTGTTTTTTCAAAAAAAAAAAAAAGTTGGTCAAGGTTAAATATGAAAAGATTCTAAGAGTGTTTGTTGTGGCTACTGATAAAAAGATTGAAAAACCAACATATTTAATATTTTTTTCGGCTTCTTCTAATTCGACCATAATTCGACCCCTGTTTTATTTTAACATTGTATGTATTCAATTATAGAGCATTAGTGTTATCAAAGCCTTATTTGTTTACGAACACAAAGAACAACGACACATTTCGAAACAACTGGTTCTGGTAAATTATAAATAATAATAGATAATAAATTATTACTAATAATATTTAAATAACTGATATTTTACAAATTTTGACAATAGTCGTTTCATATCATAAGTCTGGATTACGACACCAAATACATTTAAAATATTTCCAAAATAATATTGCTGTCTATACAGATTCAAGAAACTATAGCCGAATATATATATATATATTTATATATAGATAAAAATCCTAAATTTAATCCCTTGAGAAAACTACTCTAACATTCTTCCTCATGAAATGATAATTGCTACAAATCTCCACGATCTCAAAAGTATGCAAATAATATTATTCGTTTTATTTATTTATTTATTTTTTTTTTTTTTTATTCATTTTTTTTATCGTATTCATTTCATCCAGATTAATTTTTCTCTTCCAGAATCTCTCAATACATATGAAAGTGCGAATCAATTTGCAATGTGTTGAAGAAGTGACTGAAGAAATGTTATGGATAAAGACATAGGAATGGGTTTATTTATTTATTTAAAGAACTGATGGAACATAGAATAATACTATTTGAGTGTAAAAAACTAAACTAGTCCATAGACTCAAGCATATTCAAGTACAAAAAATGTAACTGTCTACCCAGTACAGTAAACACATTGCATAAAAAAGGGGGAAAGAGGCAAAAAAAGAGTCAAAATTTTAGTGGTGTACTAATAGTTTTTCGACTTTTTCGTCTTTTCGAGGTATTGTAATAACGACAACAATGATTTTAACGAGAGACCACGTGGATTTGGAGCTTGTGGTTTTATTGCAGGAACTGGACTTACTCTAAGAGGGTCTAGTCTTTGGGCCTGATTATCAGGGAAAGACTGCGTTTAAGAGAGGTAGGTTGGGTATCCAATAACTTTGTCGGTTGATCTCTTAGCAGGGCTTCACAGTGGCTTCGCATAGAACTTGGTAAGTTTCAAAATGAAGTATTCCATACGTTTTTTGTAGCATTTCCAACTTTTGGTCAAGTTGAATTCTAAAAACGATTTGTCGCCTGAATAAGAAGCCAGTTGCCTTCCGGGAATTCGAATTTGGCTTGGTAGTAGCGTTCACGTTCCTTTCGTTCTTTGAGCTTCCAAGTACCTGGGTACCAACGAACCGTTGCCAAGCTTCATGATCCATCTCCACATGAATCTACGCTTGGGCCCAGAAACATAGGAACGGATATCGTGTTAAACATACTGAACTGGTTGCTCCAAATTCTCTTCCATCAGAATATTCACCACGTGATTCATCAATACTTCAACCTTCGAATTTAGAAGATGTAAATAACAAGCAATTCCATATTTCCATTACCTATCTCCATTTTTTGGTTTCTCCGGTTAAAACTATATTCTTAGCACCAGAAGCAGAAGGTGATCGTAATAAATCAAACATTAATGATAATAATGAGATATGAGACAAGACAAAAAAAAACGAGAGAGAGAGAACAAGAAATAAGCGTATTGAAAAACAAATGAATTCGTCAAAACCGTCAAAGTTACCGAACTGTTTAATTCTTTCCCATAAACATGTACTCAATAAAATTAATATCAATTCAAATAATCCTTGAAAGATATATCAAGGATGGTTGAACAAATGTGAGAGCCGTAATAAAAGGTACTGAAGTCAAGCGGCAGAACATATGAAGTTAAATTCATCTTATAATTCATGTCTTGACATTATTAATGGGTTGAATATGCTGTCCCACGAATTTATTTAGTTTTATAACGTAAGATCATTTATAGCTTACAAATTTCGCGTATTTATATAAATTTTCAATATTCGCCTGTAAAATAATCTGCATGAAACATGGATGTTCGCTCACACTTTTATATCACGCACACCGAAAGAAAAATGTGATTATAAAAAGTCGTATGTGATCAATTGACATAATATGCGACCAGACACTTGCAGTATAATTTGAAATGACACACGATATGCCGAATTGGGTTAAAATCCAAGAATTTTTTTTACAATATGATGCGCTTTTTTGTTTATTTAAAAAGAGCAAATGGTATTTTCTGTTTTTAAATCTTATCCACATTTCATAAATTTTAACAAACTATTTGTGCTTTATAACTTTAAGTTAAATACACATAACAAAGAAAAAATAAATAATAAATAATATAATCCTCTGTCGCACTAAGTGTCATTCATGATTCGGGAAAAAATCCTACTATTTCAACTCCCATTGAAATAAATAATACTAATACTTTTTTAAAAAGATTAAATAATAAATCCAATAAAATTATTATACACCCGGTTTAATGTGCAGTTTATGCAATAGTATCATATAGTATCATTAAGAATTTATATATTTTTCTCTTTTTCCATGTTCGATCATTAATTAAAATGATGATTAAAATAAATACAAGAAATTTCCAAATTTTGTTTCTTACGTTAAAATAGAAAAATAGATTAGGAATTATTTCTCTAAAATATTCCCATAATGGATACCTTTTTCGATTTTATTGATCGATAACAGTAAAATTTTCTATTTTTTGTAAAGGATTCATAGATATGCGTGTTTCTTTATTAAATTTTATTTTTTTGTAAAGGAATAAATGAAAATAAGAATCACCAAAACTAAAACCAAAACCCAAGGATAATGAAACGAGACTGAAAAACAGAATCAAAGCCCTAAGAATCATAAGAGTAATAAAAACGAATCCAAAAATGAAATCAAAGCCAAAAAAAAGAACGGAAAAATGAGAATGAGATGGAAAACAAAATCAAAGCCCGAAAAATGAAACGAAACAAAAATCCAAAAACATTATGGAGAAAAAAACAAAGGAAAATGCGATCAAAGACCAAAAATAAAGACCCAAAAATGAGACAAAATGAAAGGCAAATAATAAAGAAAGCGGTAAGTCCAAATATAGAAGAAACGAAACCCAACCAAAGTCTCAACAACGTTTTTGGTTACCGAACAATCCTTTTGAATTTTTTTCTTTATTTGATAATTCCTGAGTTTCATGTATTTCAGGCATTTCAGGTCCTTTTGATTTATTTCTTTAGCTAACCAGCCTTTCCTTTTTGGATCACTTAATAGGTAGGACGCTAAACTAGAAGTTGAAAAATCTACAAAACGAAGAAGGAATGCAAAAAAACCAGAAAAAAAAGAGAGAATCACTTAATGTAATTGTCAAAAGGAGAAGCTTACCCGTATCCTAAAGTCCAATTGACAAAAAGAAATCCGCAGATAAATGTCATGTTGTAGTCACGTGATCTTACTTAAGTGTATGCAGGATTGCAGGTGACATAAAAATTATGTACCACCTGGACTTATAAATGCGACTTATAATTACATTTCTATAAATATGGACCATAATACTTAGCATGAAGAACTATCGATCTTAAAAATCAAAAGAGTGAAAGATTCAATTAAATTTAAATTGAACACTGAAATTTTTTATCTTTTAATAAAAAATTTATTCAACTTCTGCCAAATAATCAACTTCCTCATATTTTGAAAGAAATTAAAGAAAAATAGTCAACGAGAAAAAATATGTCGACTGATTCAATTGATTTGAAGACGTTAACTCTCCAAGTTTATACTGAGAACAAGGTTATTTTAGATACACTTAAAAATACAACTGTAAATAGTAAAGTGCCAAAAGCGAACGAATTTTTGCAGGATCAAAATTCAAAAGATAATAAAATAAAGCGACCTCCGAATTCATATATAATTTTTTCAGTACTACTTAATAAATATGGCTTATTAGATATCATCAGAAAATTCTGTGATAATCATAAAATTAATAAACAAAAATTAGTTCCAATATCGAAGATAATTAGTAAAAACTTATGGAATGAATTATCAATCGAACATAAGAACATTTATTCTAATTTAGCCGTTGAAGTTGAAAAAGAACATAAAAAGTTATATCCGGATTACAATTACCAACCAATGAGAAAAAAAATCAAATCAGTACATTATAAACATTATGAACATATTAAATCTAAAATAAAACCGGCTGATCATGTCTCTTCTTATATGAATAATACACCTGCACATATGCCTGTTACTTCTCAAGTTGTAAATGACGAGTTTGAACAAAAAGATGATGATATTTATGATAGTTATGATGATAGTTACGATGAAAGTAGTTACGGAGGTAGTTATGTTAGCTATACAGACTGTGAAGACTTGAATTCATTTGATGATGACCTTCCAACATTTTCAACGCACACAAAACTTTCAACTTTATCCAATAGTACTTACTATGGTTGTTATTACATATTTATTAAAATTGTATTTTTAACTGACAGTATAATAAATTTATAATCTAGTTTTAATTTTTTTTTTTTTACAGAAATGCAAGATGAATCATATAGTAACTTCTCCACATCATTCAATCATCCACAACAAACTAATAATTTTAAGTCTTCTTGTAAGATCTATCTTTAATATAAATTTTATTGACACATTTAATAAACATTTATCATATTCATATTTACTAATTCTTTTCTCTTCTTTCTTTATAGTCAATGATATTAACAATCCAGGTGAATATATATTCAACAAAAAATTAGTGTTTTGTTTTGAACATACATTTCACAATTTGCTAATAATATTCTTTTGGGTTTGTTTAATAAAAAAGTAAATAGATTGGCTTGTTATTTATGTGGACAACTGGGACACGTCGTAAGGAATTGTCCAAATCGGAATGTTGATGCGACGCTTTTTGCAAACAATAGCAGCAACAATCGTCCTACGCCTCAAGTAACTAATACTACCGAATATCAGTTTTCCCATCAGTTGCTAGCTCAATTAGTAACACAAGAAGGAGAAGAAAGCTATTCCATATTTTGGAATGATGCACTTGAAACTCGTCTTTGTGAGCTGTATATGAAGGATGATGTTGTAGATATATTTTGGGGTCAACCTGTTGAAGAAAGTATTAAAGGTATTACTAATTGGCAAGTTTATGTAGTTACTCGTGGTTTACACAATTCATATGCAAAAACGGAAACAATTACAGACAATCAAGTAATTAATTTTATTGCAGAAGAAGAAAAGTTAATTAGTTTTGATGATCCATTACCAAACTCAATAAAAATTCCACAAGATTTGGAAGAGAGATTTGATGAAGCATTAGATAATGAATTGGGATTATCATTTCGTGAAAAACATTATAACCTAGTTGGTATAGGTACTGGATATAAGCGAACTAAGGGACAATTAACTAATATACCAGCGATTATATTATATGTTCGTCAAAAGGGTATTTTACGCCGTGGGTGTGATGGAATATTTCCAGAGGAAATTCGTGGTTTTTCAGTAGATGTTGTTGAAGCATGTGTTGCAACACCTTGCGCAAGTTTTGATGTAGATTATTGTCGACGTTATCAAGGAGATGTTAAGTTGGGATCAAGTATAGGTATAGGATCAAATGAAACTCTAAATACAACTGGAACACTTAGTGCTGTTGCTTGTGAAAAAAATTCGAATCGGTTTGGGATTATTTCATGTGAGCATGTACTCAAGTTTAATGAATCAGATTTTGAAAATGGTATTACTGTTTATCAACCTTCATATAAAGATTTGTTTGAACCAAAAAGGAAGCTGGATGAATTGTGTAAACTATCAAAAGAACCAGGAATAAATAAGGATGATTATGAATCAATTATGTATGAAATTGAACATGAAGAGAATAAACTTAAAAGAGCAAAAGAAAAGAATTCAACTTTAGCTACTTATGTAAATGGTATGAGAAAAAATTTTTTTTCTGTAAAACATAGAAAATATTATGGTATTGATGCAGGATTTTGTGTGTTTGATAATGAAAATCGTACATTATGTCCAAAAAAATTTTCAGTACCATCAATGGACTTTCCTACTTGTTTGGAGGGTACCTATGATTTAAATGATATAAATAATCTAAAGGATCTTAATCCTAAAACTGAAATCTTTAAAGTTGGACGAACTACAGGTCTTACCTTTGGATATTTGTTCCCTGCTAGTCAAACTATTGCTTGTAGCTTGACAGTTGAAAGCATTAAAATTGCAAAAAAATTAGCAATGGAAAAACATATCCCTTTTTATGATAATCTAGATCAAGAAACCTTTATCGGATATATGAAATCACATGTGGACTCTGAGATTTGTCAAAAACGTAAAAAATGCTATCCTATTGAATGGTTTGATCGTCAGTTAGCATTTCTATTTAAACCTGGAGAGTTTGAATGTGGAGACTCAGGTGCAAGTGTTGTTGATAAAAAAGGGAAAGCTCTGGGTATCCTTCACGCAAAATTGAAAACACCAAATCAAACATTTGCTATTGCCTCACCTTATTTTGCTATCATTGAGGCACTTAATGTAGATATTTGCTTTTCTCCCGATTCTATTACATTAACAGCTACTTCATCCCTCTCATCTTTTTCATCCCTCTCATCTATTTCATCATCGTCATCTTCATCAAGATACCCCTTAACTGTTACGAAAGTATAATATTAATACTGATAATATTTCTTCATGATAATCATTAATTTAATAATTTAAACCATGTTCCATATTATGATATTTTAGCATAAATCTGATACATGTACAGTATATACTATATCTTATTTTAATACTATGAATGAAAATTTTCAAATTCGCTCACCACTCAAATTTAATCTTTCGTTTAACGCGAAGTATTAAATAATCAATAGTAAATTTAAATACTTCCAAGCACAAAGAGGTATAAATTTATCAGCGTTGACGTACTGATTTCTGATTAATCTATATAATCTAAAATATATCATATATTACTTAAAAAAAAGTTGACACAATTAGTGATTGATTTCTCCACTAAATTCTGTTTGGGACAGAAAATCATTTATTGTCCGGAGCGAATGCAAAGGACTATATATGTATGTCTACGCACTATGAAAAATGATCGATCACGTGTCCCGGAATTCCAAGGCGTTATGCTGCTAATCAGTAGAAAATTACGATCACGTGAGTTTCTCTGTCCAGGAATTCCAAGGCGTTATGCTGCTAATCAGAAGAAAATTACCGGAATTCCAAGGCGTTATGCTGCTAATTAGTAGAAAATCGCTACCATTCTTATGTTAACATCTTTATTTACTAGGAAACGGGAACCGTTGTAAGTCCGGAGCGAGGTATAATAAATAAAGATGTAGCGATATTCTACTAATTAGCAGCATAACGCCTTGGAATTCCGGTAATTTTCTGCTGATTAGCAGCATAACGCCTTGGAATTCCTGGACAGAGAAACTCACGTGATTGAAAATTTACACGTTATTTCCATAGATCATCATAGTGCGTAGACATATATAGTCCTTCGCTTCGCTCCGGACAATTATGATACCTCGTTCCGGACTTACAACGGTTCCCATTTTCTAGTATATATATGATATAAGTTATAGAAATAGAATTTCAGTGTATATTATATAAAATAATAAAAATGAAAGCGCCTTTTCTTTATACATCATAAATCAATAAGTATATTTTAAGTATAAATACTTTTCGTACTAGGACAGTAATCGAGGTGGGAAAAATACATTTCATATTCTCGCAAAGTTGTTTGTGCCTCGCTCCTAAATTTTTTACTAATGACAAATTGTCAGGAATAATCATATTTGCCTCTGGATCACGCCACGTACTGCTAGAATTGTAGCGTTATGTTCGTCTAACTAATAATTTGATTTCTTACTCCCATAGTACCTTATCCTAACCAACTTAACCTGATCCAAATTTCGCGTAAATTATTAGTTATATGTGATATATAAGAGTGACAATTATGATTTCCCTGTAAAGGTGAAAAGTATAATAAATAGGATCATGTTATCCCTCGGTATAAAATTAGAAATAATTTATGTGGATTACAAGAATGCTCTTAAATACGTCTTGATTTTTTTTGCATTTCGCATTACGTTTATTTATGAAGTAATAGATTATTAAGAAACACTTACTACAGAAATTCGGTTCTGATAATTTAGTTTCTTTAATAATCGAATTTTTAATTATCATCTTTTCTTTTTACCGATTCGAAAGTAAACTTAGAAATTATCAATAAATACTTTTTTAGAAAAAAAATTACAAACTAAATTTTTTTATGTATAAAGCTATCCCATATTTGAAAATAGAATAATTAGTCAATAGTATTCTTTGGAAGTATTCTAGGGTATTATTCTTAATGAAAAAAAAACAAACCTCGTAAAAAAATCAAATTTGGTTAAAATAATATTTACATGATCAAACCAATTTTACCTTTACTAGGATATTAGGGCGTTAATCATTAAAAATGGTGAAAATCGTGCGACGATGATTATCCATTGAAGAATGACAAACAACAACAATTTCTTTTTATTATTATTTTATTATTATTTCTAAAAAAAGCATAATTATCTCACTTTTTTCCTAAAAAATGAGACAATCGTGTCTTTATGAATTTTTTTAAATATTGATCTCAGCAAACAACAAGATTCAACACCGACAATAATTCTATTTTTTTAAAAAGTAATAATCAACGACGAAAAAAAAAATGAAAATGATAACTCAAGAGTCACTGGCAAGTGGTAACTAATTTGAATAAGTGTTGGCTTTACAATTGGACAATCTTTTAATTTTATTTTATTTGAAAAGAAAAATTGATAATGATTAAATACCAAAGCGAACGAATTTTTCCGAGATCAAAATTCAAATGAAAAAAATGCTAGACTTTCTAATTAAAATATAATTTATGCAAGCCAAATTGGCAAATTTGGTTTATTAAATATTATCAGAAATTTTTGTGAAAAACATAGAATTAATAAACAATGCTTAGTACAAATCTCAAAGAAATCAGTAAAATCTTATGGAAAGATTTATTAGAAATTTTTTTAAAGAATTAGCATTAAAAGTTGGTGTAGAACACAAACTGTTACACTCGAATTACAGATATCATAAACCGAAAGCAATTCTCTTCATGAACATTACGAATCTAAAACGGAAACAGATAATTCTCTTCCCGCATTCAATATTCCTCTCGACAAACAAATAGGAAAACACTACGAAGATCCGCCAAATCGGAGCTCATCAACAGAAACAACAGAAAATAAAAAAATAATAAATCCTCAAATTGCAATACAATTAATTGTAATATGATGCACTTTTTTTTTCTAACGATGAATTCTTCCGAAGCGAAGAAAAAATCTATATCTATATTCTAAAAAGAGCAAATGGAAAAAGACATTGTAAAACTTTATAAATAAACTGCTTACAAATTAACTTTCTATTTTGAAGGAAGGATTTGAAAATACATATATTTTATTTATTATTGGGTATAGCTATCTTCTGCGCCAAAATATGATTCAAAATCCTACATTTAATTAATGATACTGCTAACTTTCACTTTTATAATCTAATTTTTTAATTATTTCTCTATTCTCTCGCTATCCATGATCAGATTGCCACAAAATTGCTAAAATTACTATCATTGGTTTCCTCCTTCTAACTTGCTGAATCAACTTTAAAAAATCTGTATGACGTAGATACAACGAGATTGCACGTGATGAAATTAAAATTAAAATTAGAGGTCATATGTACGTTACACAGTACTTCGCTTAATGTAAAAATTGATCCCATTTCTCAGCGACCCATAATAAAAAAAAAAAAAAAAAATATTACCATAGTCAAATTTAAGTAAATATTTGCCTAAATTTTTTTTTTTGAAAAATTAGGTAGAGTTTTTTCATATTTAATAAATTTTATAATATACTTTTACTGAAGAGTCATTTTTATTAAATTTATAACTTCTTAACATAAATTGGGCATAAAAAAAAAATTAATAATGTTTCAAATTTTTTTATTGTTTTTTAAAAATAGTATTATGAAAGACCATTTAGTTTTACAAACATTAATTTGGATAAAGAAAATGCTGATCCTACGTTCGGTACCGTCATTATTTTCGCCAGAGAACCGTATGAATTATAATAAAAAATATAATAAAAAATATATTAAATAAATAATTAAATAAATAATAAATATTTTTTAATAAAAAGAAAAAAAGAAAAAAAAGAATAATAACCCAGTTTAGGATACGATTTATGCAAATCCATACATAATATCATTTGATGTTTATTTCATTAAGAAAAAACTCATTGTTTCAAGATTTTTCGGCTAAAAATATTTTTTTCCATATTCAATGACATTTATTAAATACTAAAAAAAGTTTAAAATCTAATATTATTATAATATATTATGCATGTTTTAAATAATAATGATATATACCCAATTTGTAAACTTGTGAATTAATCAAATTTTCAAAAAATGATCCAATTATTTTTTTTTTATGCGTCATAGAAAAAAAGATATTCATTATATTGAAGCTTAATTTATGCTTGATCATAAAAGTTGTTAAGAATTTTTTAATGCATATAATCATTTTGTTAGACAATGACAATGCATTTTCCTTCTTTATATAAATCACATGAATCACAACGTTACACACTCTGTCGGGAAATAACTCCAGAATTTATATATTTTTATAACCAAAAACATTTATTATACATAAATCCCTCAAAAAGAATTCTCGGTAACCTTTTTATTTTTATTTTTTTCTTTTTCGAAAAAAAAAAAAAATAATAATAAATAAAAAAAAAAAACTCCTTTTGACGTCGAAAAAAATATTTTTAGAATCTATCTATTTCTTTCTTTCCTTTTTCTTTTTTCTTTTTTATGTTCGATCATCGTTCTTTAATTAAAAATGATCTAGCTAAAAAGATTTAAAAAAGTAAAAAAGTACAATCATACATTAAAAATAGAAAAATATGTTAGAAATTATTCCTTAAAAATGTTCCATTTTTTTGGACATAGAAAACGTAGAAAACTTCAGAGAATTTCCAAATTCAAAAACAATGAGATTTTCAAACTCCGCTGCAGTAATACAGAAATTGATAGCTTTATTTCCAAATAAGGATTTCTGTGAAAAAATAACGTGAATAGTTTTTTTTATGATAATAAAATATTGTTAACAAATATTACATTTAATTATATTTATAGATCATATTTTTTCTATAAATATGAGATGCTCACATCGTTTGTAATTCAGATCATAAAAATCAAAAGAGTTAAAAAGACATTTTATATATATATATATTAATATTTATATTTATATATATATTAATTTATTTGTCCTTATTATTCACCTTCTGTCATCTTTTAAAAAGAAAAAATATTCAACTTCCTCATATTCTCAAAGAAAAAGTTTTTCATCTATTAAAAGAAAAAAAAGCCAACGAGAAAATATGTCGACTGATTCAAGTGATTTGAATATGTTAACTCTCCAAGTTTGTACTGAGAACAAAGTTAATTTAGATTCACTTAAAAATACAACTGTAAATACTAAAGTGCCAGAAGCGAACGAATTTTTGCAGGATCAAAATTCAAAAGATAAAAAAATAAAGCGACCTCCGAATTCATATATAATTTTTTCAGTACTACTTAATAAATATGGCTTATTAGATATCATCAGAAATTTCTGTGATAATCATAAAATTAATAAACAAAGATTAGTTCCAATATCGAAGATAATTAGTAAAAACATATGGAATGAATTATCAATCGAACATAAGAACATTTTTTCTAATTTAGCTGAAGAAGTTGAAAAAGAACATAAAAGGTTATATCCGGATTATAAATATCAACCAAACAGAAAGAAAAGTAACGCCGTCAAAATTAGACAATATAAACCTAAAATAAATCCGGCTGATCATATTTCTTTTCCTACGAGTAATCCATCTATTCATGTGCCTGTTATTTTTCAAGACGAAGGTAATGGATTTGGACAAATGAATGAAGGTAGTTACGAAGATAGTTATGAAGGTAGTTATGAAGGTAGTCATGAAGGTAGTTATGAAGGTAGTTATGAAGGTAGTTATGAAGGTAGTTTCGAAGGTAGTTATGAAAGTAGTTATGAAGATAGTTACGAAAGTAGTTATAGTTATGAAGATAGTTATGAAAGTAGTTATGGAGGTAGTTATGGAGGTAGTGGTAGTTATAATGGAAGTTTTGATGACGACCTTCCAAAATTTACAACATATGCTGCTCCAACATTATAACTTTCTTCCTCTCAGCATAAATAATGGTTGTTATTGAACTTTATAATATAATATTTTTTATCTGAATAGATTTGTAATTTGGGTTTAATCCTTTTTTATTACAAAATATAGAAACTTTAGATATATCATATAGAATTAGAGACTTTTCTACATCATTCAATATCATTCAATCATCCACACAAACTATCAATTCTTCAATATATTATTTTTATTATCATATTATCATATCATATATTTAATAAACATTTATCATATCTTTATTAGTAACCTAACAATTAATTTTTACTTTTTTTATGATCAATTATTTTATATTAAATAAGGAAAATAATGTAATACAGAATTAAAAATTCCATATTTTGTAGTGATCCGCCTTTGTGAATTGTAGATAATATTTCGATCTGTAGAGAAACATCACGTAGGGTAATACAACATCTATATAATTACGCGTGGTTTACACAATTCATACGCCAAAATTGGAGACAATTACACAAATAATTCATTTAATTCGAATAGGTTTGATGATCCAGACAATAGAAATTCCTCAAAAGCCTTAGATAATGAATTAGATAATTAATTGGGATTATCATTCCTATGCATGAAATCATTATACATTATAATTATAGTCTAATTGGTATAACCACTGGATACAAGCCGACTAAAGAATTTATATTTTTGTCCGTCGGGGTCACATTCATTTCTACAATCATTTTACCGACAATTATCTCACCGACAGACGACTCACCGATAAGGAAATTTAGGACTAGAGTTAGGGTTAGGGTTAGAGTTAGGATTAGGATTTCAAAACTGTCAGTGAATTACTGTTGGTAAAATGATTCCGTCGGCGGAATGATTGTCGGTGTTTGTCGGTAAAGGTGAAATGATTGTCGATGAAATAAACAAGATCCCGCTCGTCGAAAAGCAGTTTACACAAATATTTACAGAGAAAAGTTGTAAATTTCCGGTAGCCATATAAAAAATTTTATCGTTTATTTCTGTAAAAATGAGCCTTTCACGGATCCATTCATGGAAAATGTAAATAATTCGATAAATTCCGTGATATAAGGTTATTCCGGAAATATGAGCCTTTTACGGAAAAAAGATAGAAAATAGAAAACGGAACGACTTTTTTTACAGAGTAGACATTATTGAACCATGTACCACACATAGAAAGATTTGTTTGAACCAAAAAGAAGGTTACAATTTTTAAAAGAGCCAAAAGGATTTGAAAAAAAAAAATCTTAAAAGAGCAGAAGACAAAATTGGGTTTTAGTTGTTTCTGTAATGCATAAAAATTATTATCTGTTATGGTAAATTTTCACTATCATCAACGTACTTTTCCATAAGCTGAATGAGCTGAAGATTTTGATTATAAAACCAAAGTCTTTAAAGTAAGATCGAACTACGATACAAGTCTTATCTTTGGATATATATTTTCTACAAATCAATCTATTACTTTTAACTTGACCTATGAAACATTAAATTGCAGTAGAACAAAATATTTGTACTTATAACAAATTAAATTTATCAAAAACGAAGAAATGGCAAGTCGGGTAATTTTACATGTCGACAAAATGACATTTTGGTGAAATGGCAAGTCGGGTAATTTTACATGTCGGTAAAATGACATTTTGGTGAAGTGGAGTAGGTAAATTTTCATGTCGGTAGAATGGAAGTCAGCAAAATGGCGTCGGTTAATTTCATGTCGGTGAAATGGCTGTCTATAAATTGTACTGTAGCCGCCTCACCTTATTTTGGCACTTACCGACAACTATCTCAGCCAACTCATTTACTAAAGGTATCCTTTAATTTAGATACAAATGTATTATATTTTAAAAAGTGAATTGAAAAATCCGCTTTGCAGAATAATTTGTCATTCTATACTTGATCATGATGTTTCTTCGTAAGAATCATTTGAATAATTTAAAACAAGCTCCATATTAAAATATTTATAAGTCCGATACATGTATTGATATCATAAGTAATCTATAAATACGTGAATTAAAATTTTCAAATTAACTTAGCCACTCAATTTAATCGTTCGTTTAACGTGAAGAGGAAGAACCGAAGGAGGGAAAATAATCACTAGTAAATTTAATTATTTAAACATTTCCATGCACAAAGAGGGGTAAATTTTATTAGCGTTGACGTACTGAATTTCTGATTAGTAAAACATAATTGGAAGTAATTTAGTAAAGCTTCAATAAAAATTAGGATCATATGAATAGTGGTCAAATTACAGATTTAGGTTCAGATCAGACTTCAGAGGAACTTTTTTTTTATATACAGTACAATGCATTACGCCTGTGCTACTTAAAAATATCGATATCTGGACTTTTTACTGAAGTCCATTTCACTGAAAAATAATTTCATGTTTCACCGAAGTGCCATTTCGAACGAAGGGACATTTCGCCAAAGATATGGAATTTTTTAATTTTCCTTTTCTTCTTTAGAAGACAACATATTATAATATGTCGCGTTTGTCTATTTTTTTTTAATTAAAGGAAATTGGTTTTATTTGACAAATTCATCGTATTCGTCAATTTTCCGTAACAAGTGAAAATAGAATAGTTTAAAGAGAATTTAATTTAATTTGTTTTTTGAATATTTTCTTTGTATCGAATTGTTAATGATTAAAGAAATACGTACTATCATGACCAAAAATATCATGTGTTACTGCAAGACTGTGAGAAAAATTAAAAAAAAAATTTGAATCATTGAAGTGATCGGTTCTCTCCACTAAATTCTGTTTTAGCATTTATATATTAAGTTATAGACTTATAGTATAGTACATATTAAATAAATAATAAAAGTAAACGCATTTATTCAATTTTAATTTAAAATTGTAATTTGTTTGCAACTATTTTTTTACATTTATTTATAAGATCAAGTATACTTTACTGAGTTCACTTGAAGAGTATTGAAATATCGAGCCCAAAAAAATAGGTAAAGTTTTCTTTTGAGCGGACTTTATGTATTAATCTAGTACGGTCCGTAACTCGCAAATGAGAATCAAAGATTCATTTCTGTTAAGAGTTGCAGAGTTAAATGTTAAATTTGCAAGCCTAGTTTGCAAACCCGAATACTTGATATGATTTATATCCCATTTTATTTAATAAAAAATTGATCCAACCAAATATTTCGATTTATGAAAACTTTTAATCTTTTTTTTTTTTAATAAAATAAATAAATAAAAAAGGTTACGGTACGTTTCACCGAAACTAATTCGCCAAAAGGAAGTTTCGCCGAAGGGATATTTCCCCGAATAGGCATTTCGTTGAATGGACATTTCGCCGAATCCTTTTCCCGAATCGTCCATTTCGTCGAAGGACATAGTACAATTCGATACAAAGAAAATAAAAAATGTTCAAAGAACAAATTCTCTTTATTTTCACTTGTTTTGGAAAATTGATAAATACGATGAATTTGTTATCTTTTTTGAACTTAAGATTGAGTAAAATTAATTTCCTTTAACTGCCCTATAAAAAAATTCTAGAAAATACTCCGATAAATGATCATTTTTCTAGTTTTTATTCCGAAGAAACTCAGACACGTGATCATTTTTTCTGAAAATTTTTTATAGGGCTAAAAAAAAATAAACAAGCGCGAATTAATATAATGTGTAAATAATTCGTTCGTCTTCTAAAAAAAGTAAAGGAAAATTAAAAAATTCCATAATGGTACTTTGGTGAAACATTTCTTCGGCGAAATTGCTTCGAATTGAACTTCGACGAAAAGTCCGGATACCGTCTCCCCTTAACAATTAGTAAAAATGAAAATGTGATATATATGAGATAAATATGAGATATTAATTCGGTATATTTTCTATTATTATTTTCTATTATTATTATAAGAAAAACAATATCATTAGAATAATCGATAAATTATTACTATGTGAATTACAAGAAAGCTCTTGATTATATCTTATGAATGTTGGAATGCTTGACTACGTAATTTTATTTTAAGACTTTATAGGAATTTGTAAATTTAGAAATTTGACTCCATTGTTTTCTTTAAGTAATTGAACTTAATCGTCTTTCTTTTTTAAATTGTAATTGTATTTTTATTTTTATTTTACCGGTCAGCCATTCTTTTCGGAAATAAACAAATTATAAGAAAATATTTCAAATACTAAATTTATTTCTCATATTAAAAATAGAATAGCTAGGAGCTTTCTTTGGGAATATTCTAGGGTTAGTATTACTTTTAATGAAAAACAAAAAGAAAAAAACCTGAGAAAAAATCAAATTTGGTTAAACAATGAATAATACATTGATATATTCATATTATATGAAATAACCGTAAACAATCAAATTTATCTTTTTATCACTTTTATCAGTACAAATTTGGATGTGGTTAATCATTGTGAAACAATTCGTGTGACGATAACTTTATTTAATTATCCATCAATGAATATATACACACGGTCATGAAATTTTCGCTTTGTTCCTATTTCTAAAAAAAGCATCATTATCTTTGGCCAATTTTTTTTTTTCTATAAAATGGGACGACGAATTGTATTTTTATGAATTTTTTTTTGAAATATTAAGTCTCAGTAATCAAAGATTCGAGACCAAACATTTCTTCTAGTATTCTTTTTTTTTAAAAAAAAAGTAATAATTAACGAACATGGCTCAAGAGTCTCTAGTTACTGATATTAGTGAATTAACTTTACAAGTCCGTTCTGAAAATAAAGAGGAATTGGACAACCTTTTAATTTTACTTGAAAAGAAAATTGATAATGATGAAATGCCAAAAGCGAACGAAATATTGCGATATCATGATTCAGATAAAAAAATCAAAAGACCTCCTAATTCAATTATTATTTATACCAATCAAATTGGCAAATTTGGTTTACTAAATATTATAAGAAATTTTTGTGAAAAACATGGAATTAATAAACAAAAATTAGTACCAATTTCAAAAAAACTCAGTAAAATCTTATGGGAAGATTTATCAAGCGAACATCAAAACTTTTTTGAAGAATTGGCATTAAAAGTTAATGTAGAACACAAAAAGTTATACCCGAATTACAAGTATGCGGTAAGAAAGAGAAAAGTCCGTACTACTTATAAACTATACGACTTTAAAACGGAAACAGATGATTCTTCTCTTCCTCTCGACGAACAAGTAGAAGAACACTATGAAGATTCGACGAGCTCATCAACAAAAGCAACAGAAAATAAATTAACAGAAAAACAAGATGAATTAGATGAATTAATTCTCGATAGTTCTGATGACGAGAATTAAATACTGTATTTGGCAATAGTAAGTATTTATTTTTAAACAATTTTGTTAATTATTTTTATTATCCTTTTATTGAACTTTTTTTCAATGACATTTTTTGGGCTAATTTAGTTTTTTTTTTTTATTTCGTTCGTTTTATATAGTTTTATATGGTGATGAAATTAATTTTTCATGATATCGAAATTCATTATTTCAAAATTTGTATAGTTTTAATTAATAAATTCTTATAATCTCATTGAATATCAAATAATAAATTCTTAAGACTATTAAGACTATTATATTACCTTTTTATTATCACTAACTTTATCCGCATTTATGACAGTTATTTAATGGCCTAACGCTTATCAAATATTGTTATATTTATCACGTAACAGTCGTAACACACAATATTAACTAGTCATATAACACTAGACAATTCTTTCGGCCCGATCGTTTGTTTTGTGCCACAATGATGATTAAAAGTTTTGATTTGTCGTATTTATATTGAAAACAGGTTGATATTCCATCAGTGTATTATGCATTATACTTCGTGTATATACAAATTTGAGTCTTTCGTTCGGATTTCTTCTCTCGTCAACTTAGTAATATTTCCTAAAATAAACCAACTTACTAACACGGTATTATTTCTCCAAAAAAAAATGAACGGAAGTCGTTATTAATACAAAATCCGAAATATACCGAATTTTTTTTAGGTTGCAAAACAATATGCTAAAAATATCGTATTTTTTTATTTAAAAAATGAAAACAAAAATTCTTAAAAAAAATTATAACAAAATGATTTAGAAATTATCAATCATTCATTCATTTTAGCATTTTTAACAATAAAAAATGGAATATATACAAAAGAAATAAAATTTTGTGTTATTTCTCAAATCATTATTCTCAGAGTACAGAACCTACTAAAAATGGTGAAAGATAATTATATTTTGTAATATTCTCGTAATATTCCTTTGTTATGAAAACATATTATAATTTAATCATTTCGTCCGTTATTGATTGTTTGATAAGTAAATAGTATTATTATTATTTATTCTTATCCAAATTTCATTGTTTACATTATATTATATGTTAATATTACGATTTTTCCAATTTTCCAATTTTTCCAATAGAATTATTTCTTTTATACAATGAAATTTGAAATTTATAATAAAAATTACAATGAAATTTGTTAATTAATAGTTACCAAATTTTAATAAATATGAATAAATATTAAAAAACATGACGAGATATAATATAATTAAACAATGAATGAAATGACACAACATTAATATATGAATTTCCAAATTTGGTAAAATTAAATTTTTGAAAGAAAGATTTATACCTTGGCATAATTTTTGTTCGTAAATATTACTCTCATCGGCCGTAACGAAAGTTAAAAGTAATCATTAGAAAAACAAAAAAAAAACGGAAATAAATGTGCGAGCGTATGATGATTTGTTCCAAAAATAAAATTATCTTAACTATAATTCTTTGTTTCAATATGATTTCTTTGAAGCCGCATTTTCGTAAGACATATTACAATTATGTCAACTAATATGATAAAAAAAATTATATTTAAACAACAGTCAGAAAAATTTATATTTAAACAGCGCCCTTCTCGAACATCAGCATTTCTTCTAAAAAGCAATCTATTGGTATCATCAAATCAAATCTTTTGACCTACCTCAGAGGTAGTCAAGATCAAAATTCTTGACCTCACTTTCCTTTAAGGAATAAAAATCAATAAATCCTCTGAGTCAAAGATCAAATTTTTGACATTCTTTTTAAAATTATAGATATCAAGAATCAGGATTAAACCCTCTAACATTTGATCCTCCCTTTTTTTTAAAAAAAAAAAGCTATTACCGTTTTGATATCAATCAAAAGTTAAGGTTAAATCCTTTACCATTACCTCTATAAATATCGAGGGTCAAGGACAACTCTTTTGCACTACTTCTTTCTTAAATTGGCCAACATTTCGAAATATCAATATCAATCAAGAGTTAAGGTCACTAATATTATCTCTACCTAGAGCCAAAGATCAACTCTGACGCTACTTCTTTATTAAAGAGAAGTACCAATCTATTAGTATCAAGAGTCAAGAAAGTCTTTTTGGCACCTCTATCTTTAAAAAAAGAAATAACAAATTTTTATAAATAGTATTAGGACATATTAACAATGACACAAGAATTGGATAAATGGGCTACACAAGCATATAATGAAAATAAAGATAACATGGAGGATGTGTTGAACTTACTTAGGATTGCAATCGATAATGATGAGATGCCAAAAGCAAAAGAGTTGTTGCAAGTAAACAAAAAAACCAAAAAAGGATCAAATCCGATCAAACGACCTTCAAATTCGAATATAATCTACACCAATCAACTGGCAAAGTTTGGTTTATTAGATATAATCAGGAGATTTTGTGATGATAATGGTATTAATAAACAAAAATTAGTACCAATTTCAAAAAAGATTAGTAATATTTTGTGGAAAGAATTGTCAACCGTACACCAGAAATTTTTCGAAGAATTAGCTTCAGAAGTTAAAAAGGAACATGAAGCGATGTATCCATCCTATAAATATCAGCCCAAAAGAAAACCAAATAATCACGATAAATTTAAACAATGGGATCATAATGAATCTAAAACAAAACCAATTGATTCAGTGGATTGTATTCCTTCTCCTATGAATAATACGCCTGTCTCTCGTCATGAAGAACTCGATGATGAACATCAAGAATATCGTGAAGACGAAGAACTTGATGATGAACAAATTCGTGAAGTTGAAGAAGAACCTGATGATGAAGATATTTACGAAGAGGAATCTGACGATGAAACTTACGAACCAACAGACGACTCTTTAACAGATAGTCCTCCAAAATTTCGGGAACCTACTCCGGCAACCCCTCTAAATTATGAAAAACCTTCATCATCATCCGAGCCATCATCCCCCTCTACTACCAATAATAATGATGATTATGATAATTAACAATAATTACACAATTACACATTTAATATTACCATTAGTAAATAGCAATTATATAGCATGGCATGTTTAAATTAATAGTTTTCAAAGTTATAGAGATATAGAGATAGAATAATAGAAATTATATTAAATAGAAATAATAGAAATTGATTCATACATTTCAATTAGATAAAACTTGTCCTAACATTCGCATTTTACCCCTGTATAAATAATCTAGTATACTGTTCTCATCATATGCATTAAATTTTCTATTTGCGAAATTATTTCCCCTATCAAGTAAAAAAAAAAAAAAAANAATAATCTAGTATACTGTTCTCATCATATGCATTAAATTTTCTATTTGCGAAATTATTTCCCCTATCAAGTAAAAAAAAAAAAAAAGAATAAATTTCCTTTTTTTTTTCTTAATATATACCTATTTTTTTTGCTGCACCACATGTGGGCGTTTTTGTTTTACATTACATATTAACTGTCTAACTTTTGATTCCAAATCCAAATCACAAAGAATTTGACAAAAACCAGCCAGTCTGTAAGTCTGTACTGACTGCACTAACTGCACTAACCATATTAGGGGCAACGGAAACATTCAAACATTTGTGTGGTTAGTTCATGACGATAAATTCCTAAATTATTAACGGCATTGCCAATCAATCTCACTCGCATAATGTCATTATCCGGGACCGTCCAAATCGTATAATAACTTTAATCATTTTCAATAACATTATAACATATAACATATTTTATTTATAGGTAAAAAAATATATACATGATATTAAGATTAAAATGAAAAGGGAAATATAGAAAAAAGAAAGAAATATTTACTTCTAACTTGAAGTGAGAACTTCTGACATACTATCACTCCTTCTTCCCCCTTTACCACTTTTTTTGCCTTTTTTACTATTATTACTTTTATCGTTTTTCTCATTTCCATTTGTCTCATTATTATCCATTTCCTTACTGAAAAAAGAATAGCTTTTAAATGAAGGATATCCATCTTTTAAAGCTTGTCTCTTTATACGATAACAGCTTAAAAGTCCACATAAAATTAATAATAAAATTATAACTCCTACAATGGAGAAAGTGAGAATACAATAATTTGCACAATCTCTAGTTTGTCCATTATTTGAATAATACCAAAATACCCATCCTCGATTTCGATTTATAGGTACTGAGTATGTAATTTGAGATAGGGATAAAATTATAAGATTAATGAAGAAAAACCGTAATTGAGATGATTTAGTCATTATATACATATAATTTTTCATCTAAATTTTTAATTTTAAAGTCAATAAATAAATACATTTTATTCGCGCAACGAAAAAAACAATTATTTTGCTCAAATACTTACATTATAAAATATTATTATGTCCTTTTAATTAGTTTAAAAGAATTAAAAAGAAAAAGAAAAAAGAAAAAAAAACAGAACGAGGATAATTGCTTGGTTTATATAAGAGTATTTGATCACCATTGAATAACAAATAAAAATAATACAACAAATGTCATATGATCTTATTATGATAATACAAACATTTTGTCACATTTGGTAAGTTATTTCTATTTTAATATAAAATGGGCAATAATAAATGATTTAATCATTAAAATGATCAAAACTCCAGAATTCCGTCATTATTACAGACCGTGATTTTCAGATGCATTAATCAAAAATAATATAAAAAGAAATAAACTTACTAATACACTTTAGGAACAAATAAACCTGGTAAATTACTTTTTGGCATTGAAAATTAAGCATTTAGAATAGATTCCGATTTACAATGGTGATATCTTCCGAAAACGTATAATATATGAATGACGATCAATCACTTAATCCCGGCAGAAATATTTAATGTCAGTCGGAATTAATGATTCGGATGATTAGAAGATCCATTTAGAACTAAATTAATTTCTTTTTTTTTAGTCCGAAATATAAAATTAATCTATATGAACGTTCATCATAATTTTGGTGCTGTAAAGCTGTAAATAAGAATTTCACGCATAATCTAAATTAAATGTTCGGAGATTTTAACAAAATAATTACATATAAAAATAAATAAACGAATATATGATTATAAATACCTTAATAGGTGGTAGGATAGAAACGTTAATAATAATATTAATTTTTTTTTATTTTACAATCTTAGACTAATTTGAGTAAGGATAATAAATAATAAATAAATAAATAAATAAATAAAAATATAACAGGATTACGACGCTAAATAGGTCACTATCAGAACCACTTTAAGAAATTTTCTTTAAATTTTACAACTTAAACAATCTGAAATAACTAAAAAAAAGTTAATAAAAAATAAAAAAAAAACAATAAAATTGTAATAATGAAAATAAATTCACCTGATAATGATTTACTAATATAAGCTTCTGGATCTAAATTATTTTTTGATTTGATTTTTTCTTTTTTTCTAAAATTTTCACATTCTTTAATCTGAGAACGAATTCCGCTATGTTTACCCTTGTTGTCCTTATTACGTTCATTATTATCACTATCTTCGTTATCTTCATCTTCATGGTTTTTTATTTCATCATCTAATTTCTTTAATTTTTGACATAATTCTTTAGCAGTTGGTCGATTTTCTGCTTTACCATCCCAACATTTTGTAATTAAATCTACAAGTAATTTTGGTATATCTTCAGAAATTTCTGGTCTGACCCCATTATCACATATTGATAAAGCTAATAATTTATTATCTTGAATAATTTTATTATCATGTGTAGCTTTATTATATGGAATCTCTTCTGATATAAATTCATGCATTACTATTCCAAATGAGTAAATATCTGCTGCCTTTGTATATTTGTTTCCTCGTAAAACTTCTGGCGCCATATAACGTAATGCTCCAAATATTTCATTTTGTTTTCCATCTTTTTCTCGTTGACACATTCCTAAATCACTTATATATGAAGCGCTCCAAAATAATATATTTCCTGGATGAATGTCTCTATGAACTTTTCCAGCATTATGAATATCAGAAAGTCCTCTCGCGATCATATATAAATGCTCAATTTTTGATTCATAATCTAAATAATTTTCAGATTTATTTAAATATTCTCTCAAATTTCCATTTTCACAGAATTGTAAAACCATCATATATTTTCCTGAATCTTTATTTTTAGTTATCCCATAACATTGAATAACGTCCGTAAGATAAATATCGAGATGAGATTTAATCTACATAAAAAAAAAAAAATAGTTGATTTTTTTTAATAAAATACAAAATAATAGTATAAATAAAAATTCTAAATTGTTATTTCTATTTCAATTACCTCATTTAAAAATTCTGTAATCCTATCAAAAAAATCATCTAATTTCTTCAATGCAACTTTGATATTTGATCTCCTATTCCATTCTTTATTTTCAATGTCCCAATAACAAATGTACCCTTTGGGCCATTTGGCTTCATAAATTTCTCCAAATCCACCTTTGGCTTTAGGAGTAACCCCTTCAAAATCTTCAAAAGGTATCCACTCAAGACATTTCTTATGATATACAGCGTTAATCTGTGATTCTCTTATTAATTCATCAATTTCTTTATGTTCACTAGTCCAATTACTAAAATTTTCTTTAAATCTTTTAGCATTACAAGTTCGACACCATTTGCTTCCTGTACCAGGACTGTTACATTCTCCACACGTTCCATACGCATCTTTTCTTTTTTCCAAATCTTCTATTTTAACTATCTTTTTATTTTCAATAGTTTCCTCTAAATTAATAGAAGAAATTGTAACATGATACTTTTTTTTTAAAAAAAAAACAAAAAAAAAAAAAAATTAAAAAAATAGTTGAAAATTATTATTACTTTAAAATATAAAAATTCAACGACAAAATTTTTTGTTTTATATTACCTGATAATTATCAAAATCAATCTCTTTCCATAAATTATTTGCCATAATAATTAATTTGAATAAATCACACCATAATCTTCATTCATTTCAAATAATGTTTACCTTATAATTAACGAAAAAGAAAAGTGAACTTTTTATTACAGTAAATAATTTGAATTTTTAAAGAATTAAGAATTTAAGAATATTTACGGAGTTCGGAGTTAGAATTTAATTTATACCATTATGCGTGATCCCTCGTACAAAATTTTAAATTGTTTCACCAATCAGGTTCAGATCATTTTTACCTATAATTCTGCTGAAATTTAAAAATTATTGGGACGAAGTAAGCATTTAGTCATAAAAAATTTTTATTATAAATACTTATATAAAGGAAAGAAAATTATTTAACAAAATAACTCTTATTTGAAAAGTTTATATTAGTTTAACTATTCCTACTTTTTTGACTTTAATCCTGAAATTAATTAAATGGCATTAAAAAAAAAAAAAAAGAAAGGTCATTTCTTCATATAATTTAGTCATATCCGCATCTTCACCATCTTCCTTGCCTACTTTTCTTTAGCATCATCACATTTTTTAGGATAATAAATATACACAACATTAAGAATGCACGATATGCAAATCATACTAAATTTCGTTTCAAGAGTACCATGTGACCGATCTTCCTGAGCCATTACTGCAGGGATTTTTCACCTGTCGTCATCATAATTATTCTCGTCATCACCTTCTGAGTCATTCATCCTGTAGGAAATAATTTTTTTAAAAAATTTTTTTTGAGGCATCAAAATAACTTTAACATTATTGTTATTTATGCCTACTGTTTCAACCTCTGTTTGATTTGTTTTCTTGAAATTTATATACAATATAATTATATTCAGTCGATCTTAAAAGAAAGAACCATTCTTCATTGATTGCAAGATACTTACTATTTTCTCTGTCAGTCTTGTATATAGGGCAACTGCCATCTTCATCGTTTCTGATTGCACCCCAAATATGAACTTTAAAGGGATGTTTTACATTGGAGTAATTGCAGAATATTATTACAAAATATTTGAATCGTAGTTTTATCAAAAAATACACCTTTTTCCAATTATATAATTCATATAATTATAAACCTAAGACAATCGGTTTTCTTTTACTTTTTATGTCAAAAAAGGAACTCTCCTAAGACGAGTGAATATAATAAAACTAAGGTTTTTAAGTCATGACAAATAATACATCGAGTTCTGGATTTTTTCAAGTTATACCTTTATTTTACCAGCTATAGTAAAATGGTTGATTGTGCTTAACAATTATCCCAATTTAGCAGTGTTTTTAGGCGTCAATTTTCACGAGACTGATAACCTATAACTGATAATAATTTTACCATGAACTAACGTACCGTTTACAGATTTTTTACATTTTAGATTTTTTGCTGCCAAAGAAGTTTGACAGTATTTCTGTTTTTTTAATGGTATTTAATGTCATTTTAAAAGAAAAAACAGAAAAAATTTATTTTTGTATATTATTTTTTTTCATTTGTTTTCAAATATAAAACCAATTTGAAACAATTAATTTCAAATTGGAAAAATGCTCATGCTATTACTTTAAAATGAAATAACATTTACATTACCATTACCTTTGCTAGAAACCATACATAAAGATTATTTTATTAGAAGAATTTATTGTTATATATTGTATCTATAATGCATCAGGAAAAAAAGTTACATACACAAGTAAATAACATTATTAGAAAAATTAGAAAGATTATGCAACCTGTTTTATTATGAATTGCTTATTTTTGGATACAAAATATTTGTTCAATATTTATAGCAAAATCACACTAAATCTTAATAGCTTATGATCATTTAATTTGTTGTGTAATATTCTTTTCATTGTAAGTATTATTTAATTATAATTACATTTATAAAATTTTACAATTTGCTTATTTTTAATACTTACTTATTTTTGGTAAATATGGTAGTTATAATTAGTTATAAAATATTTAAATTAATTAGTGTAATTATAAAATATATAAATACTAAGATTTTGTAATTTCTGTTCTTAATCACTTTTTAAAATAAAATAATAAAACCCATCTTTTAAAATAGCAAAAAGAATTATTAAAATTAAAGATGTAAATATAATTAAATAAATAAATCCCTTTCTTAATTATAAATATAAATAAGTCCTTTTCAGAAATTTATAAAAAATAATGAAAAGAGGAAACTTTACAGAAACTTAACATTTTTAATCAATATAGAATTGATATTGTTAAGTTTATCTTAACGGTATTGTTTTGACATTATTTCAATATTAATTCAATATCAATTTAATATCAATGTAATATTGAAATAAAGTATTATTATTTTGATATCATATTAATATTGAATCAATATTAAATTAATATCAAAATGATATCAAAAAAATAATTGAAATGACATCAAAATTTATATCTTTAAGTTAAACTTAAATATATTATTTCGATGTTATTTCAATTATTATTTTAATATCATTTTGATACTATCTCAATATTATTTTGATGTTGAAATGATAATATTTTATTTCGATATTATATCGATATTAAATTGATATTGAATCAATATTAAAATGATATCAAATGATATCGTTTGAAAACTTGAAATTTCTGTAAAGAAATCCCTCAAATTAAAATTAATAAATTATTTTGAAAAAAAATTTCTAAGTTTAAAATATTAATCATAATAAAATCTAAACTAATTTTATTATTTTCTATCCAATATTTGCTAATAATTGTTTTTGATATTTCTTAAATTTTTTTAATATATTAATTATACCTACTTTTTAAATAATATTTAAAAATATAGCTTATACAATTAAATAAAATAAATAGAATTGAAAGTTCAGTTACTACTATATATTTTATTTAATAACTAAATGTTATTTGCTATATACAGTATATATATATTCTAATTTATTTTTTTAGATTATTATATTTAATTTTTATTATTTTATCAGTACTAAAAATTTGTTTATCGGTATTTTTAATAATAATAAAAATTTTAAAAAGAGTAATAAATTTTTTAATATATTTTTTGCTAATTTATTTTTAATATTATAAAAAAAGTAGATTTGTTTTTATATATTTATATATTGAAAAGTATGTTTATAATAATATATTTAAATATAATGATTTATTATAGGTAAAAAGGGATCACTTCTATTCATTTAATAAAATGTGTGTATTAACTCTTAAAAAAAAAAATAAATAAAAAGAGATTTTTGTAATTTAAATCTAAGTTTCTTTACAATCTTCAAAAATTGTAAATTTAATAATGATATAAAAATTATAATTTATAAATTTTTTATTATTTATATTTTTATTAGTGTTTTAACTTAAAACAAATAAAAATTATACTAATTTTTTTTTTGAAATAGATAATTCAATTGGATATAATAATAATCAATAAAAATATATATATAAATTCAATATAATATATTATATTAAAATATTTTGAGCTGTTTATATAAAGTATTAAAATAAATAACTAAAAATTCAAGTTAAATATTTTATTATTATTTTTTCAATTATTTTATAGTATTCTAATAAAACAGTAATTTTTTTTTTTAGTTTTTAATTTTATTTCAAAAGGTAACTATATTTAAAAATTTTTTTTATATCTTAAAAGAAAAAAAATACAAGTATTAGTAATATTTAATATTTTGAAAATACAAATATTGCAATATAATATATTGTAATTAACTAAATTTTATTTATTTAAAAAGATTATTATAAATTTATTAATAAATAAAATTTGAATTAAAGGACTGTTATAAGAATATTAAAAGATATTCTTATTCTTATTAATTATTATTTAAACTAAAGTATTATTATAAAAATAACTAGAAGATGCATTTACTTAAATAATTTAAGATAATTATAATATTAAAAAAAATAATGCTTAATTTCAAATGTATTTAAAATGATTTTTAATTTTTTTTTAAATACATAATCATTTTTGAAACTATGCATGTAGTTTAACTAAATAACTGTTATATTTAAATTAAAAGATTTTTATAAAGAAAACTTATTCTTTTTGCTAAAATAAATATTTATAAAAATAGTTTTTAGAGCTATTTCTAAATATAATTTTAATAATCTGTAATTTTATATTTAATATTTTAAAAATTAAAAAGCAAAAAATCAGATTAGTAAATAATATATAAATTTTTATAAAAGAAAAATTTTATTTTAATTATTGATTATATACTATAAAGTTTAAAAAAATAATTTAAAGCTTATTAGATTTACTATAATAAAATATATTAAATAGTAGTATTTTCATAATTTTAACTTCAATATGTAATGATAAATTATTTTTAAAAATCTTTTAATTTATTAAAGTTAAAGATATAAAAGTATTGCCATTTAATATATTTCATCATAATAAATCTAATGATCTATTTTTAATTTATTCATTTATAATTAATATTGATATTTTGTTTATTTATTTTATAAGGGGCATGCCAGAAATCAGCTGATTTCTCTCAATTAGTAGCCTTAACCCCCCACCCCTACCTGATTGAAATCTGATTGGCTAAAAAAATTATTATTATTGAATATTAAATATTATACATAATAATTAGTATTATATAATTATTTTGGCTTCTAGTGATTCAATTTGAACAAACTTTTTTTTGTTTTGTAAAGCTAGATTTATAGAACTAAATGAGTGCTATAAATTAAAAAAAAGTTTATTAAAATTGGATCACTAGAAGTCAAGATAATTGCATTATAATAATTATTATAATGTAAATACAAATATCTTGGCTTCTAGTGATTCAATTTGGACAAACTTTTTTTTATTTTGTAAAGCTAGATTTATAGAACTAAATGAGATCTATAAATTTAAAAAAAAAGTTTATTAAAATTGGATCACTAGAAGTCAAGATAATTGCATTATAATAATTATATAAAAATAATTAAATTACTTACATTTATATTTAGATATATAAATGTCACGTGATATATATAGACCTGATCTGAAGCTTGACTCCCCCCACCCCCTTTCAAATCAGCTGATTTCTGGCACGTGCAATTTCATTAATATTATGATATCACTTATCATATAATTAATATAATTACATATAATTAATAAAAATAAGTATATATTATTATACTTTTCGTCAAAATGACAAAATACTAATTAAATTTATTTTGACAGACGTAATGTATTTTGACAGACGTAATTAATTCATAGTAATTTTATAATAAATAATGAATTGGTCCGTTCGCCAAAATACAACGTAATTAATTAGCGGAGAAGTATATATATTATATAATTCTGAAATTAAATAATCTTTTTTTATTATAAAGTTATTTAATTTTGAATTATATATATTTTTTTAAATAAATATAATATATCACAAAAAAAGAGAAGACATAATAGTATTATTAAAAAAAAATTGTTAAAAATTACTGTAGTTTAAAATAATGGCAATTTCTATTTGTATACAGAATGTTTAAACACAGGTCATATTAGTAGATTAAAAACGGCATTCAAAACCTTCTTTAATGCCTTAAGTAAACTTGCAGAGCAGGTGAAAATACATATATTTATCTGTAATATAATAAGAATAAAAAGTAAAAGAGTATAATGTCGGTAGCATTCAATTTCAAATTAAAAAATAAAAAATTAGTCTATTAAAAATTATATTTATATGACCCGTGTACAAACACCCCATGTAACCTTAGAAATTTTCTAAAATAATTTATATAATTAATATTTATAATACTTAATAAATTGTTTATTATTTTAAAGTATTAAGTAATTTTAGTAATATTAAATGTTTTTTTATTATATTTATTAAATTTTTATTGCAAAAGTTTATAAGTTGCTTATTTTTAGAATTATAACAATTGGAATTATTTATTTTTAAAAGTTATTTAATTTCAAAATTATATCATAGATTATAATCTATTTTAGCAATTAATTTTTTTAACTAATTTATTATTTTTATACCTATACTTACAAATAGAAGGCAATATTTTTGTATTTAATTAAACAAAATATTTAAATATTAAATTTTTAAATTAATTTTTAATATATAAAATAATAAATTATTTTATTATCTATTGATTATAGAAAGTTTTATTAGATTTGTTATAATAATATTTATTAAATAGTAGTATTTTATATTTTTAATTTTAATAGACAAAAAGTTATTGGCATTTTTTAATTTATAAATTTTTAAAAATATTATTTTTATTATCTTATGCCTATTCTACTCTTATCAGTACCTGATATGTGTAAGATATATGCAGAATAACATACATTTATACTGTAGTATACTTATAGTCAAATAATTTAACCTAATAAATATTATAATTATTTTATTTTACTTATAGTATTATAATTTATAAGTGCAACAACTATGTAAATAATTTCCATTCTAATGGTATATTTAGTTTGAAAAGCAATATTATTTTTAGATTATATTGTAAATTGCCAAATTATAATATTTTGGTAAGATTTACACAAAATTGAATCATTTTTACTAAAAAGAGTTTTATTAAAGTTTTTATAAAAAACTTTTTGCATGCTGTTAATTTAGATAATCTCGTCCAATTGATAATCGCATAATTAGCACGAACATCGTTCGCATTACTAATCAGAGATCAGCCAATGTATAAGGTAAATCGCGTGACGTTTTGGTCATTATACATGGAAAAGCGCATTAAATGGGCGCATTTTTGTCTTATAAAGATACTTGATTAGGTAGCATTGAAAAATTTTTCATAAAAATCAGAATATGGTTGGTTATTTAGAAGTAAAGAGAACAATAGAAAATTTTGTTTATTCTTTTGATTTAAAATCGTTAATTGAATTAAAAAAATGATCTTTTTTTTTATTTCTAAAATTGATTTTATTTTTTCCCCACATTGCGTTCTTAAGTTAATCGACTGTTTGACATTTTTGCAACACCTGTGATAATTTCTTTAAAATAGAGAGAATATAGGTATAAAATCCATTGTTCTTGAATTAAAACTTTAATTTCTCAACAATATGATGATAAGTAAATATCAGGATTGACGTTAAATCTTTTTTTAAATTTCACAAACTTGCACCTATAACTTTACTAAATAAGGTAAAGAAATTCCTTGTTCTTAAAAAAACAAAGAAACACTCTCAAAAAAAGGTAGAATTTAATGCGTGAGTCATGTAATTTCACGAGCGTTATGAAGAAAAGATTATGTGTGAATTTTGTACATGTGCATCACAGAATGTCACCTGCTCAATCCCATTGTTATGATGATAAATATCCTGAATTCCCCACAAAACAAATAAATTCACTTGTCAATAAACAAACCATTTTTTTTTGTTTATTTGGTTTTTTTTTTTTAAAAAAAAAATAAACAAAAAAAATTTATCACTTTTTTTTGTGCGCGATTAGAACACATCCGTAAAGTAAATATCCCGTGAAATTCTCATCATGTTCGAAGTCTTTAAAAGAAGAAACAGTGATGCAAGTCGACGTAGGATTCGCATAGGTAACGAAACAAAACAAGTGTATGAAGATGAATGTCGACGATTAATAAATGTTGTAGAACATTTAACAGAACAACGTAAAGAATCAGTAGAGATTATACGATTAGTAAATAAAGGTTTAAGTGATTTAATAGGTAGTTTACAAAAAAAGCATCCGAAAAATGATAATGTTACACCAATTCCTGATGAATTACTAAATACTGTATCAACTCAATTATTAAATTCAATTCAAGCTCAAAATTCAGTTCAAGCTCAACTTGATGGTGAATTATTAGATGAAGAAGATGATACATTTGTTGGAGACAATGAAGCTAATGAAGGAAGTTCCGTTAAGAAACATGATGATGATGGATTAAAAACTGAACTGGTTATATTACAAAGTCAAATGAATAGATTAAGAACTGAACAAGATAAATTAACTACATATAAACAGCATAAGAATACTAACGGTAATGGAGAATCAAGTAATCATGTTCATAAAAGAAGATCTACTGGTTTAAATGATTCATTTAACTTTTCAAAAGATAGTCTGCCTGAAAGTGATTATAGTGGGATCAATACCAGTAAAGATGATGATGCTTACGAGACAATAAAGAAACAGGAGAAAGAAATTCAAAAACTTCGTAAAAAGGTTAAAATTTACGAAGATCAAGTTAATGAGTATTCTTCTTCCGTAAACGGTACGATGAATGAGGGTCACATGAACGGATCAACTAGCGGAATAAAAGATGAAATTAAAAAATTACAACGATTGTTCCATACGTTCACGAACGTATCAAGTGATGAAATTGAAATTAATCAAGACTCGTCAAATGAGTTGTTAGAATCATATCAATTAGGATCATTCCAAGATAATTCAAAATCAAGAATGCGCTTGTCCGCAGCATTAGAAGCAAAAATTACGTCTCTACTTAATGAACAAGTCGAAGGTTATTTTACAGTGAAGGATACGTATTTGGAAGACGATTATGATGACAATAATCTTGAATATGATTTGGTGAATACCACCGAAAAATTGTTTGAATTATTAAATAAGTTTGCAGGTGCTCGTGCGAATGGAGACGAATCTCTCAGAAAAACATGTACTAAACTTCGTTCTTTAATCTACTCATCATTAAGTACCTCCTCCTTTTCAACTTTTGAAAATGGTACACATCCATTTATCAATTCATTAGTATCACAACTCTTAAAATCCATGGAAGGATATCGTACACTTCCTACTGCAGAATCATCACATGTTAAAGAGGAAGCAAAACAAATTATATTAAGATTTATTTCTCTAATTTATTTTAAATTAAAATCCTTAGAACCTCAACCAAAATTAGTTTATTATGATCAGGGTACAAATGTTGATGAACATAGTATGAAAGGTGCTTGGGATAAAATAGATGTATCAAATCAAATAGTAGATATTTGTTATTTCCCTGCCGTCATAAAAAATAATAATACAATTAGTAAAGCTCAAATATTATCTCGCCACCGTTAATTAGAAGCCAACTTAATCGACAAAAAAAAAATTGTATATACTTTGAAACATTGTATTGATTAGATTAAGGAACACGTGACTACAATATAAACTCATATTTGTAAAAAAAAATCAAAAAATAAAAATAAAATGTAAATTTATTTATTTATTTATATAATTTAAAAGTAAAAATGTTACGAGGTCTCAATAATATCCAACATAATTAAACAACTAATTACTAAAAGAATTTCTAAATCACGATGTTGTTTAACATTCTGCCAAGCTTTCTCAAGAATTTGTAGATCACCAATCATATCCCAGTTTTCACTTTTCCTCTTCAGAGTAGCCACAAGTTCTTTCTTTTTCTTTTTGCCAATTCCGCTACTACTAGTATAAGGAGGTACTTCATATTCGATTAATTCACATATTAAATCGGAATCTTTTGCACCAAGTGAGGTTGGTTTCCATCTGTAATCTTTTTCTTCAAAATTAAAATGCCATGTATTACTAAGTGCACCCGTTCTACGTAATTTGGTTTCTAAATGAGGAGTATGAATGGTGATTATTGGTTCTCCTACCGATGAGATACGGGTTGCTTCTCCTATTATATAATCATTATATAATTGTTTAAGCGTGCATTGATATGGTGAGTTCTTTGATTTTATTATTTGTTTAGAATATATTTCATGTAATATTTGTTGTTGTTCACCACTTAACATTACAGGTTTATCTATATCTTTTTCATTTTTATTATTATCTTCAATAATTTCCAGTTTTTCCGTTTCTGGATTAATAATAAATTCTTTTGGAACAGTAATAGGATGAAGTATTTCAATATCGTTCGAATTTGGTGAAGTACGTACAACAACATAGTTTAACGCTTTATTAAACATAAATAAATCATTTTCTTTAAATTGATTTTCTTCTAGTGGTGCCAATTCTGGAATAATCTTATTATCACCAGGTATTGATATAGGGTCTATAGTCGTGCTTGTTGTGGTGCTTGCAGTTGCAGTTGTTTTGTGTTGTTTTTCTGTGGCGGATGTTGCCTGTTTTTTACTTCCAAAAAATTTTAACATATTTGTAATGTACAAAACTAAAACTTCTTTAATAAAAGTTCAATCAACAATTATTAAAAGAAGAAAGAATGTTCTCAGGAAATTTACTGAGGACTGACATTTCTCCTTTATATAAGATTAACTCGTGGTCCATCACGTGTGCTACACACATTTTTATGTGTTGCACTTTATTTATATTATACTGATCACATGTACTAATGAATAACTTTTGAATTTCACATGACATTTGAATTCTACCCTTATGTACTTTTGGCCGAAGTTATGCATTAACTGTGTAGCGTTAAACATAAGCACTCATAGTAAAATATCTTAACGTAAATTCGAAAGTTTTATTGCTTACATTGAAATAAAGATATCTTTTTTTATCGGAAAAAAGTATTATCAAAGATAAATATATTTAACCTATCCATCGAGCAAATTATTTTAAAATATTAAATGAATAAAATTATTTCCTTATCTTAATGGCATTTATCGGATCCCAAAGTAATAATTAAAGAAATTTGCGAATTTTAATGAATAAGGATGATACAAATTTTTTTATATTCTGGATATCTCATTCATTTAACATAAAGTTTGGTTGAACAAGTTCACCATACATTGGTAAAATTCTCTAAATTGATAAGTTTATTGCATGAGTACACGAATAATTCGTTGGTATTATCACAGAACAAAGTATAAATTATTCATGACAAGATGAAAATAAAAAATAAAAGTTCAAGATTTTTCTGTGGAGATGTCATAAACTTAATGTCACGTTCTGTCAATATCATTAAAGAGTTAGTATCAAATTACAATACCATGACAGCGATCGCGATCGATGAAAGTGAATAAGATTTGTTACCTTAAATATATAATACTGAGTAACTTCTTTAATTGTATAGGTACATTAGGAATCAAACTCATTATAATGTCGACCAGATAAACTTCGACAATCCGGTGCATATAATAAACAACATTTCTTTTGATAAATATTATAAATAATACTTTAATATTAGCAAGTGATACCAAACATAAGCACAGAATTTCTAAATTTTTAAGATTTGGATGATTCTAGTCAAATCCTAAAGAGAGTCAGCCGCATGTCTGGTAACTAGATTATTTCATGATATTACGACCAAAAGCTTCTTACCTTTGAGAATCTTTTCATTATTCTCATTTATGCGTCTCATGATACAACCACTTCTCCTGAATTCAGTTAGGCTATATTCATTGGTTGGTAAAATTGTGTTATGAAACCAATTACCGGCATTTCATATTATCTCTTTAATTCCAAATGGTACTTTTTGATCAATATCTCATGATTACGAGATAAAATTTATGAGATGAAATATAAATATTTAACCAGGGAACTAAATTACTTAGTACATTTCATCCAGATTACATCCAAAAAACTCCTTTTCATAGTCTATTTGCGATATGAAGATTCTGACACACGTTAACATCTACAACGAGTTTATAGGTGTCTAGAAACACGTAAGCTATCGATTATAAGTAATAATAATAATATGTTGTTATTACATTATTTACATAGGAATAATTATAAATTATGAGTAGAGGAATTCTTACAAGGTTGCATAACTTGACGCCTCAGCATCCAATTCCTACGTACTCATTTTCAAACGTAGCAGAGTCAACTTGGTATCAGTATTATTTTGTGGAATTGCATTATTATATTTCTCCAAAAGTGACTGAAAGTTATGTTTAAATAATCCATAATCATCATCTCTATTTAGAACATATGACTAGTTATCAATAAAATAATAATTTTGTTTTTCTAAACATCATTTCTGAACAATTTATCCAGTTTTTTTGAAATATATTGAACACGCCACTTTTCTCTAGCCGCATAGAGTCTAAAAGAAACAAAAATGAAATGTTTATGATATTTTGTTAAAAAACAAAAGTAAAAATTTTCTGATTCCATTTTATCCATTCATTATCAGTGAGTGGTGTCATTAAATTCACGAGCAAAATTAAAGTTTGAGATTTTAGAAAGTATATTATCTGTGATTAAAATACGCTCACATTTTAAGGTGAAATTCAGCAAGAATGATGCTGTATATCTTTTTTGTACAGAAAAGTCTCTTGATAATCAGTTTCAAAGTTTGTGATGCTTTGTAATAAGATGAACACTAATTAGACAGAGATATCAAACCTTAACTGTGAAATATAAATTTCTCACTTCTCACATCTCGTAGGCCCGATACAAATCGTACAAATTGTGGAACTGGAGCGCGTTTGTACAAGGAGATATTCACTTCAGGTTCTTTCTAAAAAAGAGCGATAAAGTTCGATCAAATTGATAAGATTGAACTGTTGTAACGATAAGGACACTCCATGTGCCTTTTTATTAAAAAATTTGATATTAATTTTTGCACAAAAAATTGGTTTTTTTTTAATTTCTAATTCTAACGGCCTAACCCTAACCTTAACCCGCACTTTTGTTCGTCTTTTTTAAGAATAAATTTGTCGTAAATGTTGCAAATACTCTCACTATGTTCGATTGTTCAGTAAGAGAGTAAAAAGTTATATATTGCGTTCTGGTTTTCAGTAAAATATTTTTTTTCTTTGTGAGGTTCAAATAAAAAAAAATACGATTATTTGCTGCCCCGATTATCGGGTTTTTTGATCGAGTTTGAGATACCCGAAACTCGGATAATTGTGGTCAAATTTTTTTTTTTGTCTTTGATTTTATTTATTTAATTTATTTCTTTTAACAATGACTGATTTACCATATGCTGCCGACGCCGAATTTCCTCTTTCAATAGAAGAATTGAGTGTGAGTTTCACATTATCGAAGTATTATTTTTCTGATTTTAGACATTATTAAATATATTTTCATTTTAAATAGGTATTGCGAAGGCAATATGAACGCGAAAATGTGGACGGTGAAGCTACAACACAAACTAAATTCAATTATGCTTGGGGTTTAATTAAAGGCAGAAAAGCAACAGATCAACAATTTGGTGTACGACTTTTAACTGGTAATAATAATATTTTCATGAATCTTTATTTTTTATTTTATTAACTAAGTATATTAAACGATTTTATATAGAGATCTACAATGATATTCCTGAACGTCGTCGCGAATGCCTTTATTATTTAGCATTAGGTAATTACAAGTTAGGTAATTACAAGGACGCCAAAAGTTATAATGATTTATTGATAGATAAAGAACCAAAAAATTTACAAGCACAAAGTTTAAGGGATCTCATAGAACAGAAAGTTAAAAGTGGTATGGATTTTTATCTTTATTTTTTTATTTTTTAAGAATAATTTTAATTTATAACTAACTATCTATCTTTTATTAGAGGGAATGATGGGTATGATGATTACAGGTGGAATTGTAGCTGTTGGTGCAATAATCATAGGCTCAATTTTCAAAGGTTCCTCCTCTAAGAGATAATCCGTGATAACAATCAATATCTACCGCATTTTGTAAAATTAGAATTAATTAATAGCCAATGGAAAATTATATATTGCATTGAATTCTATATAATATGAATAACATTATTATTAAAATACAGATTTATCAAAATCAAAAAAATCGTATCCGCTAAGTGGATTTTCTTCATCTTTATCATTCTTTTTGCCATCCGTTGAAAAATCACTTTTACCAAAAGCATCATTGTAGTTATTTTTCTTTTCAACTTCTTCTCTAAGAACTGGAGAAATTTCAGCTAAAAAAAAATAAAATTTTGTTTAAGAATAAATAATTATTTAACACCTTAAGCGCACAGTTTTTAAAAAAAGACATACATAGTTTGTGATTATTTATATTTTTTTGTTTGAAAAACAAGAGGTAAGGGGTGTCCGATTTGAAATCTTTCCCTTCAGAAATAATTCTTGATAGCGATGAAGTAATAACATAACTGTCATTATAATTATACCATTTATCATCATCTATAAGTTTATCAAAAATAAAGAACTATTATTAATTACAATTTTAAAGTAATTGAATGTTAAAATAATATATTACCTTCATCCTTTGCGTACGTGTAATAATGGCCATATTCAGCAGATGAGCCAGAGTGTATTACGATCGCCGACAAATCATATTGTATCTCATTAACGTTTTCATTTGTAATTCCATTAACTTTACCATTAATTTGGCCGTTTATCGATTTATCATGGTCATGAGCTTGTACCACTAATAGCGAATCTTGTATTGGAACCTATTATAATAGACGTTATTTATTATTTAGACGTTATTTATCATTTGCTGTGTTTAAATCTCATTTTCATTTCAATATACTTACGTGCGTCATAATTTTTATTCTTCTACCATATTCCACATTATACTCGAATCGATTAAGCGATAATATTAAATAACGCGGTGGTATAATTATTCGCGTTAACTAATTTTTATGGTCAATATGGCTTTAATAACTCGTTAAAGCTGATATATCAAGTAAACAAAATTCTATACCTTTAATGCATCACGTAATCCTCCACATTTATCACAAGAATATTGATTATCACCTTTTAGGTCCTCTTCGGAAAGAAATTCCGACAGTAAATCTGAGAACGAAAGATTATCTGCTGAAAAGTCGAAGTATATTTTAATACAAAATAATTCCTTATTATACAATGATTTTAAAGTGAATATCTTACATGCATCAACTTTTAATGAGAGGGAAAGGTCATGAAATTCTTCCTTGATAAGAATTATAAAAATTAAAAAAAAAAAAATGAAAAATGAAACATTATAATAAATATTTGTTAACAAACGACTATTGTTTGTACCTCCGTTTTTGATTTGTTCCCGCATGTCAGACACTTAATTGTGTTCTCTAATTTTCCACCAAACGGACATATAGGAATATCAGTCGTGGTTGAAATTTCTTCTGATATAGATTTTTTAGATTTTTCTGACTCCTCTTCAATCCGACTAAATAAAATTCTAAAATAAAAACCTAAAGTTAATTCATGTAATTAATGTTAATGATTGAAATAATATAACAATAATACTTGCTTCAAAAATTCATGGCAATCTTGTTGTCGACCATCATTCAACCATTCTGGTAGAGTCTAATAATTCAATGGCTTTTTAATATTCAATTAATAAATTAAATATAAATTTAAATAGATGTATTAACCTTCAGTAATTCTGATGGCGAAAAATATGATTTAGTGGAAAACATCATACAAGCAAAACATATTTGAAGTTGATAAATCGTTGGTGTTTTTGTTTTTGAACTGAATAAAATAAGATATACAATTAATTGAAATTATTAATATAATTTTGTACAATAAACATACATTTCTGCCTGTAATATGCGATTTCTGAATTCCATTGAGTTGAATAACGCCTTCGTAATTAAAAAAAAATTTAGTTCGAGATAAATTCTGAAAATCATTATCCGAATCAACTTGTAATATTAATCAACCTGAAGTACGCTATTCATAAAACATGTATTTCCTAAGTTTTGTAATCCTTTCTTTTTTGTAATTTGCGAGGAATAAATAGGAGTCTTCGTCATAGTTTCCTTACGACCACCTAAATATTAAGCTGTACAATTTAGCTAATTAAAAAAATAATTAAAAAGTCAGCTAAAAATTACCTGCAATATTCGTTCCCTTAAACCATGTATTCTTTCTAAGTATATCCGAAATTTCATCCTGTTTCAAATCCGGCTGTAAACATGTTAGATAAAGAGAATAGTATGAACTTATCTAAACGAGACGTTGAAATTGATTTAATATACCAAATTGAGCGATTTCAAAGTTTTAGAAAGTTGCGAATATCTATAGCCTCCACTAGGAAATCGATGCATAAGACATTGGGCTATTTTTGAAAGTTCAAGCAAAGTGACTCGATCTTCCTACAATTTAAAAAGTATTAGGTATATTTTCCTATGGATACATAGATATAACTTAAAATCACTAAAATTAACCTCTTGAGCAATCTTCTCCAAAACTTTAGAAAAAGTTGAAATGATTAAATCGAAGACGTCGGGTGCTCCAAGTAGTAAATATTCACCAACCATTAAAGCATCATTACGCGCATTGCGTTCCAGCAAATATTCAAAGCCTAATTTTGAACATCGCATTAGTTTACTGCAAATAATTTTTCGTACAATTATGAATTAACAGAATTCTTACATCTAGCCGTATTTGCACGAGCGATCCGTATTAATATAGTTTTATCCTGTGATTTTTCCAAAGCTTTGACTAATTCTACGATCCAACAACCTAAACGTTTAAATTGAAGTTAAAATACATGAATTTCATATAAAAATTCAAACTATTGTTAAAATACATAACATACCAATATTATCAGCGAATTGGTGTGGTATCATTGAAATCATTCGTTCAATACATACTTCAAATTTATTAATATCATTTGGGGGAATCTTCTGAACATAAGGTAAAATAACTAACAGGATATCAGTCTAAACATTCGTTCCTTCGGGCATATTAAAAAGAAAAAGCAAAACAACAACACTCACTTGATGTACATGATTTAGGTATCTTACTAATTAAAAGTACTATAGATTTGGAACAAGTTTGATTGCTCGAAAGCCTTATAAAGACTTCACGGATGGTAATACCTATATTTTCCGTGCTGAAAGTTGTAAGAAATTAGAAAAATATTACTTAAGAAAATTTTCTATTTATGAAATAAAATTAAAATTTTACCTTTTTTTCCATAAAGATTCAATCAGATTTACAGTCTGCTCCACAAATTCATTATATGATTCTAAAGAGTCATTCTCCGGAATCGCTAAAGCATACACAAGTACCTATATTTATATAAAGAAACATAATTTTTGAATATACATTTAAAAGTTAAAAAATAATTTTATTTACCTCAATTAATCTACCGTGATCTTCGGGAATTGATTGTGGAATATCAATAAACATATATACAAAAAGTTGCAACCAATCGATCCTACTTTTGACTACCCCAATATATTTATTAGCGCAGGATTGTAATAATTGACAATCGTTTTTAACATCGTCGGAATTGCTTGCAACTTCTAAAAGAGTAATTACGATAAAGAATGTATAAATATTTTTTGATACGTGAACTTAATTATACCGGGCTTTACCTTGTTTAAATTTAATTATCTTAATTAATGCTCTTAATTGTTGATACGAAGGCACCTACAAATATAATAAAATTTTAAAATTTCTTTATTAATAAAAAGTATACGAATATATAATATATGTCTTAAAATATACGTACATTATTTGCATTACTAAGGGTTTGTCCTATCCAATCCGAATTAAAATAAAGCATATATATTGATGTCTGTAATTGTGCTATTTGAGACAGAATAAGTTCACCCGAAACATAATGAACGCGAGAGGTATTCTTAAAAAATTGATAAAGTTAAACTCCACAGTACTTTCTGCTAAATAACTGAGCCAATTTAAAGGTACCTTGGTGATGAGCCCATATGCATATTCGCAAAGTTGTTCCCAATCTGCTTTTTGTAAGTTATTTGAATTACTTGAGCCTTTTAAATAAACTACAATAAATTTATTTTTTACGTCTTCAGGATGTGCCGAATTAAGAAGAGATTCGATAATTTTTTCCATCGTCAATTCTTGTCAGAATATATTTATAGTGGAATTAAAAGTACTTAGAAATTGAACGCGCTTCTTTCCAGATTTTTTAACCTGTCGCGATTTATGTAGGGTAAACATGCTGAACAATTACTATAATGAGTATTTCATCGGTACCGGCATGATCATCACCAGATTTGTCGAAGTTGTACCGACTTTGAAAAAAATGCAGGTTAATATTTCCGAAGTACAGGAAATAGTTAATCATTAATGAAATATTATCGTAGTTCTTTATACAACATTCTATATACCTTATATCTGGAGGTATTACATTTTGCATTGTGACGTAATGGAATTAGACGTAACCACAATAACCACAGCAAATAGAAATTTCTTTGATTGCGTAACTTTGTGATTGCGTAACCCTGATCTGATTATCAAGACTTTCAAAAGTGGGAATTATACGTCATGCGGATGAATCTATGGAATTTGAACGTCACGAAACATTTAAGATGGAAAAGCAGTGCAGCAGTTGTTAACTGTTTCAGCAATATTTTAAAGTTCCTAAATTTATGAGCTCATCAATAGAAGTTTTTGGTGTTTCAGATAAGAAATTCCTTTAGACTGCTTGATCTTTAGCTTATTGAGTTAGCCATATAGTTCACTTTACACTCTGTTTGCAGTTGATAATGGTGGGTTCTGTGCATATTTGATTTTCTAATCATATTATAGAATAATTATATAAAAAAGATCTCATCCATGAATCAATTGAATTATGTACAAAAATCATATAACTCAAATACTAGAAATATGTATGCTTTGTTAATTGATAAATATGGTAATATTTTATTAACTAAATTTCAAAAATTCTGTAATTATATTTTTCTGAATATTTATGTTAAAAAACAATTTACTTTAAATATTATTTTAATAAATATTGATTTTAGATTTTCTTTTAATTCAAAATTAGATTTTATTACTAGTTCAGGTATATATCTGTTAAAAGTTTTTTAAATACTTATAAAATAAGTAAAATTTCAAAATTTTACAGTATGTATAAAATTATTGAAATTTTTATTACTCATCATTTATATATAAAATTACAATTATTTGATTCATTTTTAATGTATTTTTCATCCTTTTATAATTGTTAAATGGCAAATAATTTAGTAAAATTTAAAATAGAATTGTCAAGTAATTTAGCAAAATGATTAAATGATACAGCATTACAGCAAGGAAATATTAAAATACATAATTATTTAACATTTTGCTGAATTACAGTAATTATGGGAGAATAAAACTATTACAAGAAAGCTGTAATGCATTCTTCTACAATTACTAAATTAATAAAATTTTTGATATAATAAATCACAATAAGTACGTTAAAATTAAATGATAAACTTTTTCATACGTTTTTATTATATATTTACTGTATTCGTTTACAAATTTTGGTTTGTATATATTCACATCTCTTTATAATTGCAGAAATGGCTTATCTGTTATTCCAGATGTGATTATAAATTTGATAAACACATTCACACAAATTTAAAACGCAGTAAATAATGGATGATTTAATAATAACAAATTATAACAAACATAAGAAATCTATAAGTAATAGCTAAAATATGTTAAATGTTAATTTTACAAAATTTCCTTTTGTAACTAATATAAAAATATAAAATAAATTATACTGTCAATGTCAATTTAAAATATAATAACCTATAGAAAAAATTTAATATAAATTTTTTATGACAAATTTTTTCAAACAACAACTAGCGTATTCGTTTGGACAGCAAATCTCTCGGCCATATGTAATATTTGACTGGTTCTGAAAGATCTATCGTATTTTCAGAAGTATTTCCAGAAATATTTCCGTCAACACTTTGACGCATTATATGTTGATCAAGTTCCGGAATATCTGGTTCAAATTCACAAACTACCTTGAGCTGAATATAACATGGCTCTGCATAAAATTATAATAAAATGATAAAATGACATAAGATTATTATAAAATTAAGCATATTAATTTAAATTATATAATACGTAGTTAAGGCAAATATTTACCAGTCCAGGCAGGTTGAGAAATATCAATTTGCGTTCTTAACTGTAATTTATCCATTTCAGCAATAACAAAATCAGCCGATGGTGGCCTAAAATGTTCAATTGATTGATCAGGAAATATTACCTAAAACAATAAATTTGTTAATAAATTATAAATTAAATTTCAAGGTTATTATAAAATTTACTAACTTGAATCGTCACAGAAGTTGTGTCCACAATATTTCGTAACTCAGCTTCAATATTGATTGTGGAAGGGAACTCAGATTGAAATTCGAGCGGTTGATCCAAATTCGAAACAGGTTTAACGATCGTAGCTTCGGATCTTTTAACTTCGTCACTTAAATCAATATCGATGAGATTATAATCCTAAAATCATAATTTAAAGTTAAAATATATAAAATATAAATATATGTAAAATTTTAACAAGTTTAGGATGATAAAATTTATTCACCATTATATAATCAAACAATGACATCATGTTTTCAATCGTCGGAGAAACACTAGCTTTATTTAATTTGGTTTGGAGCTTTGTCAGGTTTTTTGAGAGGAAATTGTCCCGCTCAATTTTTCTAAAAAAAAAAAAAAAGAAAGAGAAATTAAAATCAGTAATTATAATTCTGCAATCAAAATAAATGTAAGCATACCTTTGTAAATCTGAAACTCTCTTGATAAAAGATTTCAAAAGACCTTTCTTACTCAAAAATGATAATCCTTGACTAATAAAAAATGAATACTTAAATTATGACGAATAAAAAAAATATATATATAAAATTATTAAACGAACCCATTATTAGATTCTGTCAAGCAACCAAATATCCACACTATATTTGCAAGTACTCTCAAGTAAATGACAAAAGTTTTTGTTGGAACCGAAAGTCCGATAAGCTTATATTCCATAATATAAGAGGATGATAACAGTCGCGCCGCCGTGTCTGCCGCGGTTGTGAAAGTACTCGCTTCCAAATAATTTTGCTTCGTCTAAAATTAATAAACATCTCTCATAAGCATTATTTAAAATAAACAAAATTCCATTTAAAGTATATATACCTGTATTATAGTTTTTACACAGTCTAGATACATAATAATAAATATCGCACTACCAGAAAGTGATGGTACATGTGATATGTACTTTAAGTTGCTAGAAACGAATAATAATCAATAAGCAATCACATTATGGAAACAAGAGACAAAATAAATATTCGGTATATTTACGTACTTTGTACAAACTTTTGCAATACGCAGTGCAGATTTGAAATCGCCAGTTTTGAAAAAGTTCCCCATTGAAAACACCATTTTTATGGTTTGATTCATAAATGATTGCGTATTATCTATCAAAAGAGTTTTTTTATCAAAATAGTACATAAGAAATATATAATATATATTGTTTTTAAATAAATTTTACCATCTGCATTGACCCGAATACTTTGCCGTGGTGCATCGCCTGGGATCTGAGTAAAAAATATTTTGGTATTTTCAAAAATAATGAACCAAATAAAGAGATTGGATTTTAAAATAAATAAAATAAAATACCTTTACTTCTGGGAAACAATTAGGATATTTGTCTCTAAGATATTCATAATGCCTAAATGCATATTTTGGTAAGATTGATAATATCTTTGGATTTGAGATCGAAGCGTTAAATGCAAGTATCAAATTTCCAATATCTAAAGCATTTAAAAATAAATTATTTACAGTCTAAATAATTATTTACAATGATAGTTCTATAATATTTAACATACGTCCACGGTCATTTTGATTAATTTCTTTAGAAATATAACTTGATTCCATCTTGAAAAATTTAGGAATAAACTTTTCTACAATATGTTTAAAGAGGAATTACAACAATGAAAAAATAAAATGAAATATATTCATTATAATTAAGTGAGCAATAAACCTTACCAATATATTCACCATGAGCGGAGCCAAATTCACGAAAACATTGATAAATTGATAATTGATCTTCTGGATATCGCGACATACTTGCCAACAATTCTTTAATGAATGGAGGTATTAATTCTGGAGAAGTAATTCGTGCAACGCTTAAAATATTAAAAAAAAAAACAATAATTTAGTAAACGTAATTTATTCAATAATATTTCAACAATTTAATTTACCCCAACATTCCGTGTGTTGACTCTCGCACAATAGGATCTGCATCATTAAGTACACTAAGTGTAATCTGCAACAATTCTGAGTCTAATTCAATAGGCTGAAGAGTTCCAATTTTACGAAGACTGGTAATTGAATTCAGTCGTACAAAATCAATTTCATCTTGGAACATATCTATTTAATAATTTTATAATTTAGTCTAGCAAATATTTTCAGACGACAAACTTATATCAAATAGTATTATTACCACGAATATTTACCTACGAGGAATTCCACAGCTCTTTTCGAAAATTTTTGATTTTGCATACTTAATTCACAAATGGAATCTAATAGAAGATAACAATTTTAACAATTTAATATTAATAAAAGAACTAAAAGTTGATTATAATTACCTATTGCGGCATTGCGAACATCTTGAAAGGCATCTTCCAATCCGTGAATAAACGCTCCATTCGCACTCGATTTTAAAAGCCGAACTTCTGCTGATTCGACATCAATATCACCTTCTGGATTTGGAATATATCTTGACTTTATTTTTAATAATTAAGATTTCCATTAAATCAATTAATCCTATATGTCAAATATCGAAATCAATGAATCAAAACTTACTTTTTTAAACATCGGTTTACGAGGTTTTCCATGTGATATAACTTGTTGGCTTAGCGTCGATAGTAGAATCGAGTCTTCTACGAGTTTGTAGCTTCCCATTATATTACATGCCTGTTTGAAATAAGAGCCCAACTTGATTGAGCAAATTCTGTAAAGAACCGTTATTTTCAATACTGAATGTTAATTCCCCAACTTCTAGCTTAATTATACTGGATTATTGCCGATATTCTAACTTACCTTGCTTCGTACCTTTACAGATTCATCGCATACCATATCACAAATTTTAATAAATGCATCATCTATTAGTCGAAAAACTTGTGTAATTTTATCATCTAATTGTACCGTTCTTTCAGGATAAATGCTACTTAAAACCCTAAGATTAAAGATTATAATTTTTTAATTAACAATAGCGACCCAACAAAACACTCTTATTTGAAGAAATTTACCAAATTAAACTCAAAGCTTCTATTCGAACTTCTTCATAATCATCTGTCAAGCATGCAACACATAAATTATACAATGATAGATCAAGTTTATAATCACAATTATGGAGCTGGAGAAGCGCTTTGAGAGCATTCTATTTTTAAAAGGAATTGAAAGTTACAAAAAAAAAAAAAATTGAAATTTTAAAGTTAAAATAATAAAGATATCTTACACTTCGTACACGTGGATCGGAATCTTTCCCAAAATCACGAATTATAGTTTGAATTTGCGTCTCATCCAGATACTCTTGCTCGGTAAACTTTGCTTGCCCTCGCATCGATTTAACGCGGATAATAATAGGTGCTAAAGATGCGAGCAAACTAATGCAAGATGATCTAATACTGTAATGTGAATCGGTCAGCTCATTAGTTGCTTTTACACACAGAAACTTTAGTATGGTGTTTAACTTTGGCATTTGTAGTATACTTTCGAATCTCGCCTTCATAATAAAATAAAATTTATTTTAGTCAAATTTCAGTTTTAATGCGGAGCATATTTGAAATCAACATACTTGTAAAATTCTAACAATTGTATCATATATTTTACATTTCAATTCGGTAGAATTTGATTGCATCTATAATTAATATAAAAAAAATAAATGCGGGCCTGAAGAAACAAACTTAATTAGCATTGTTAAATTAAATACCTGATCCATAAATTCCTCGAGTACTATACTATAATTAATTATCGGATCAAGTGCCAATTTACCTAAGAGTATTATTACAAGAATCTTTTTTATTTTTTAAATAATTTTTTTAGCATGTAACAAAATTTAAAAAATTAATAAAAGATAGTAATTGTTAGTTACCTTAACATCTTTGTCTTGTTCATTGTATAATAATTTTCTAAGATAATCAAATAAAGTTTTCTTGTTCGCATCATCCATATATGGAAGCAATTTTGTAAATCGACGCAATGACTGTTACACAATTATGCAGTGAGTATAATCTTCAATATTAAAATTAGCATAGAAGATCAATATATACTAACATGAATTCTATTTCGTACTTCCGCGGAAAATAATTCGGTCATGTTAAGCTATAAAAATTTTAAATTAAACATCTATAAGAGAAAATAAATTAGCAAAGTTACGATAAAAATGCCAAACCTCGTGTTCATTTGGGATAGTCTGTTGATTAGACAAAGAATCAATATTCATCATATCATCTCCTTTAACCTAAAAAAAAATATAATGAGGAAAAACTCAAAAATCACATATCGGTCATTAAAAAACAACATACATCAAATGAAGAAATGTCATCGATGTCCATTTTTGCATCTAGAACATTTGACTTTTCTTTTACTCGTGAGGATGTTGTGTTTTCAACTTTAATATTTGAAAGGGCTTCATTTAAATCTTCGAATTTTTGAATATGGGATACACTTGAAGAAATGTCATCAGCTTCATACTCAAAAACTCGTGTTCTAATTAGAAATTTACTATAAGTTAATATTGCAATTAAAAATATACGGATAATAAAAAAGTTTTTACACAAGGTCCTACTTGGCAGGAATAATATTTTGACGGAAATCCTGAGTAGGATGATATGTTCTCTTCATTACTTCAACAATAGGTCGAATAATGGATTTAAGATAAAGCAGGTAAAGCAGGTTAGTAAAAAACGGAATTGATCGACGTCGGGCACCAAAATAAATTCCCTTCCCGATATCTTTGAAACGAAAAACTAACAAACGGGCATTTTTTCCGCCTATTTATATTTAAATTTTGGTGGCTTAGAAGTGGTCATTATGTAGCACTCGAGTCGTACCAAATGTATAATCGACACAATAGTTACTGTATCACCTTACTATCTTTCACGCATAAATACTCGTGGCGCAGTTATTGCATCATTACAAACTTTGTGCTACAAAAAAGTAACTAGATCGGCCAAAAAATCTTTCAACGCGTCCAAACCTAAATTATTAAACCTATCAAGAAAAAGAAATGGCAACCAACAAAATGGGAGGAATTGAAAATATAGGAAACCCTCACGAAGAACAACAAAGAATGTTATTAGGTAGAATTGTTAATAACGTTGTAAGTGTGTATATATATTTATTAATGTCACACATTACGCGATAGTTTACTCATTAATATTACTGTTTTTTATTTGAAAAGAAAAAACTCAATGACGCATTAGAAGATATGAATAACCGTATCCAAGTATGCCATAAATTTTTACATAATATTTCTTGCAAATAATTAAATTATTTAATAATGTAGAAATTAATGTAGGAAATTAATGAATACAACCAAGACGTTGTGGTTCTTTCCAAATTCTGGTCAAATTACAACAGAAATGTTACTTATAATCTTGAAAATATTCAAAAATTGGCGGATCCAAAATGATGTGCGATGTGCGGTTATGTTATGAATTAAATTTAAAGTCTAATTTGTCTAATTTTAAGTCAGTCTAATTACAATAAATTTACTATATAACTTCATAAAAGAAATGTACCAGGTGGTATCTTATATAAAATGATAAACAACTTGCTAGAATTTGTATAACCACGACAAGAATTGCTAATGTCCGCTCATGTAAAGGACCAATTTTTAACAATAATAAATTCATTAATGTGAAATTATTAACTTCAATGCTAGTTTCTCCCTTATCTACTTTGACAAGACGTAATAACTCAAATAAATCGAGTACAAAACTAGCTGGTTTTTTTAAGGGCTTTTGTATTTTAACCCTACTATATTCTAACTTGTTTTCCGACGGATTGAACCTTTAGCACGTTTATTTTTTTTAAAAAAAAGGTATTAGAGTCATTTCAAAATTAACTTTTAAACATTTATAAACAAATATATACCTAGGCAATCGATGCCGCGGACAATCTACCAGTCTAAATAATTGTGGACAAGAGTATATAAAATTGAAAATTTGCGGAATAAAGAATAAAAGGACAGTTTTACTAAAATGAGAAAGTATTCCAACTACAGCAAAAGTCATTCCAGCGAAATAACAGTACGTGTCACCAACAAAAACTTCTGAAGGATACCAATTATAAATTATAAGACCAAATGAAACCCCAATAAACGGCAATATAAAATACAGGGAGAATAAGTGTGCCTCCACGGCTGGATCAGCATCATTCAAGAAAAGAAAGTCATTGATAGCTATAGAACACGCAATTACCAAGGATTGACCTATCTCCACTCCATTTATTCCAGCGAGGATATTAATAGAGTTTGTACAAAATATTGCCATCATGCTCATGTATACATAATATAAAAAACCTAAAAAAGTGTAATTAGAAAGCAAATCAGTTTAATATTGCAAGAGTGAATTTGAAAAACTTCTCACCTAAATCTATAATTCGTCCAAATATAAAGCGCAGAGGTATCGGTACCACTATGTGTGTTACACCAAAATTCACATAATAAACCATCAATATGGGTATCGAAGCGATAGCTGGAAGAAACAATTTATGCCTCCACCTGATATCAAAAATATCATCGGCAAACCCAAGGAAAGTCATCGATTGAAGAGATAGCATTGCTGCCAAAAATTCGCCCAACTAAACCAAATATATATTAATAAACACTCATTACGGTAAAAGAAATTAAAATACATACTTTATGATGCGGGAATGTTGGCGCGTGGAACTCTTCACTTTGCGAAATTTTACCTTTACCCGAAAACCACTCCATGAACGGAAATGGTATAAAGAAAAACATACACACAAGATATACTGTTGCACATATAACTCCCATACATTCAGGACTTTAATAAATAAAACAATGGTTAAATCCATTCTTTGCTAAAATGTATAAACTAAGAACTATTTTAAAATATGTATACCTACATTGGTGGTTCTTTGTCGTCTTTAGCCAAGTCCTTTCCTGTTAATTTTGCTTTTATGAAGCTCTCTTTGAATTCTGGCACAAGTTTACATGTTATTAAACCTCCTATTATAGAGAATCCTACGGAAACTGATAATGGATCATGGGCTATATTATATATTATTGTTAGTGCAAAAAGAAATATGAGCGTTGTAATGAACATTTACATAAGAGAGTAGAAAAGCTACATAAATTTATATTAAGGGGTGAATCTATCGACTCGAATTGAATCATGACACGTTTTGTACAACAAACAATCTAAAACGCATTTTCAAATGATCGACGACTAACGACCAGTCAGGAAAGGTGCATCTTTTGATGCAACACAGGTCAAGAAAGTAACACGAGGAGGGCCAGTCGATTACATATAATATGACAAATTTATTATACGACTAGTATAATACAAATTTGGGAATTTAGATTATTTTCAATTTATACTCACAAAGAAATTTCCGGTTCGTTACACCAAATCTATGGGAGTAATTGATTTATACAAAATAATTAACAAATTTTCAAATTTTCAGGAAGAGCGGACAGTATAAAGAAAAAATTTCTAAGCATATTCATTCAAATTACAAATAAATACAAAGATACACAAAAGTCATGGTTTTTTTGTTTAAATCAAAGGTATTATAAAAAAAATACGTTCTAAAATGAGAATGTCGATACCGACAGAAATTTTCCTAATTTTGAGACAAAATATATAACACTCTTAAAACTATGTATAAAAAGAAAAATTTTTTTACTTGCAAATAAATTTTTGTAGTATATTGTTATAAATTAGAATGTAAAGAAGGTTTCTATAAATGTATTAAAAAAATCGGATTTTTTCTATTTTAATTAAATTAAAGTTCTCTTGTATAAGTAAATTGTTTTTTTAGAGTTAAATTTTTTTTTTTTTTTAATAATAACCACCGTGACCTTGCGGATTAGGTGACGGTGCGCGTTCCAATTCATACGTATTAAACCGTGTATCTTCAAATTGTTGTTGTTGATAATATTGTTGTGGAGGATATCCTGTACCGTTAGCGGAGTTTGCAGAATAATCATAATATTGTTGTTGGCCTTGTTCTGATGACATCTGTGAATGTACTGAACCTGCATCTCCATAATAATCTCCATCATATTGATTTATTTGTCCTCCTTGGTGTCTTTGACGTTCCTGACGTTTGTTTGTTCGGATACGAGCACGTTCCCAATCTTCCCACCGTTTTAAGGGCACATTAGATGCGTCAAATTCACCATCTTTTTTACCATGATCATCACCTTTTCCTTCACCCTCGACTTTTCTGGTTTCGCCCCATGAGAAATCATCAAAATTCCAGTAAGCATATGTTGGTAAGATAAAATTCCATACGGGTAAAGCAAGCAAATATATAAACATCCAAGCAATATAAATCAATTTTCTTGTGGTAATCAAAATCAATATAGCGGGTAAACCAAGAACCATTCCCAACATCATCAATGGAATAGCTTCAGTAACATCTTGTGGAGGTTTCAATATTATACTAATAATCAAACCATAAGTTAATACTATAGCAACAGGAAGTACAACGGTACCGATCAATTCCATAAAGATAACAAATTGCATGGAAAAACAAAATGTTCCACAAAGATTTCGGACGAGAATTAGTTCTAAAAGATTATGTATTGTGGAGTTGATCCAGCGACGACGTTGTGAAAGTAAAACCCAAAAATCATCAGGTACTACTGTTTTACAAATAGCTTGCGGACAGAACATCATCTTACGATGAGGGAAGTTTCTCAACATAAGTGTTGTTAAGAAACGATCTTCACCAAGGAGTAATAAATTCTTTTGATGAAGGGTTTCAACTGTATTTTGCGAATATTCTTGTACAATTTCAGGTTTTGTGATAATTGGCACCCAATCGTCATCACCTTTACGAGCCTTAAGACGGTATGTACAGAAACAACCAGGTAAACAGGTAACACCACCAAACACGGATTCAAAACCCTTACCCAAATGATGGGAAATATAATATTCAAAAACTTGAATAGCAGTAACCCAAGAATCACGCTTGTTGGCGATCTTAGTTTCACCACAAAGACCCATAATGAGAGGGTCATTACACATACAATTAATTAAAAGTCTAAGGGAGTCGGGATATACTTTAGTGTCAGCGTCAACCTGTTAAAATACATGTAAATTATTAATAAAATGAATGATAGTCCTTGTAAGCTTGTAAGACAATGTTATAAATAATTACCATGAGTACAATTTCGAAAAAGTCTGGAGTTACACCCATTAAATGATGGATTTTTCTAAAGAGATCATAATCCAAAGCGCACATACGGTCATTGTAAGTAACACGACTAAAGAAGTTCATTAAAATCAGTTGAGAATCACGTTTTCCACGATTTCCGGGTTTTGGTTTACCCTGTTCTTCGGGAGCACCGCATTTTGCAATGGTAACCATAGGGATACGACGATCCTTATAGTGGAAATATCCAGCATAGACCTTAGCCATGTTGTGTTGTTTAGCACCAGCAGCAACGGCAATATAACTTTTTGGTTGAGGATCTTTAAATTCAGGTTCTGTAATTTAATAAATTTTAGTTAATTAATACTTTCCTTAAATGAAGGTGAACAAATTAAACATATTTTAGTGAAAATATATTACCAAGTTCCATAAGACCGACACAAATATCAGGAGTACTTTTATCATTGCCGGAACCAACGATGATACCATCACAAACAAGGAACAACAATTTACGATCATCAGGATAATCGGTAGCAGCCATAGATTCGCATGTACATCTTATACCAACTTCATCTTCAGAGTAACATGTAACTAATAAGACAGTAAATAAATCGTTACCAACATCATCCAGAGTTTTAAGCGCACCATTTCCAGAAGTTAATGGTTGACCACCAGCATTAACGAAATTTTGCGTCGAATCAACAGAATTTTTATCCTTCGGTTTATGAGCAAGGCGATGAGATATAAACCAATCGAAAATGCAAGCCATGGCAAAACGAGTCAATACAATACTTAAGATGACAGTCAAAGATACGTATAAAAAGAGTGTGGAGGTAAAACATCCAATTGTTTCCTTATCAATGTTTCCAGCGTAATATTTGCTAACAAGACAATTAACTGAAGCTTTAAGGTCAGGTCTTCCAAAGAAAAGACGTGTAGCATCCTTTCCACCTTGTTTATGGTCAGTATTCAAGACTGAACGGATGATTTTATCAATTTGATCTCCAGTTGGAACTGGATGTGATTTCATATATCCTTCAAGGTTAAGAACATTACCATCAATGACTAAATAATCTGCAAGATCACCAATTTGATCCCAATCGAACCCGACTTTTTTAGTTGTGTTAACAATTTTATATTCAGCAAAAGTGGCATCATCAAGTTTTTTAAGTGAACAAGGAGAATCTTTTTTACAAAATTGGTCATTTACAGCAGCGAATTTTTGTATCACAGGGTCCTGACAACTCGGATATTCAACAACATCACGTTGAAAAAATTGTGTAATATCTTGTCCATTTTGATCTTTTGCGAGAGCATCAAAGTTTATAAGATCTTTATTGTCTTGACCTTTAGGGTTTACAGCATTTGTAATATCAAATTGCCATCCTCGAATACCAAGATGTCCTAATAATATCGAAAATCAAAACGCGTCAGTTATTATAAAATTACGAATAGAATCATAAAAATTCTAAAAATTGAAATTGAAATTATAAAATACCTGGTGATTCACCATATCGTAAAAACATAGCGGGATTATTTTGTTGAGATGGGGGACACAAAACGGCAGCGAAACCAACAGTCAAAAAGGCTACAGAACCACCCATAAGAAAAACGATAAAACACAACGCAATTTTTTCTCGCCAAGCTTGTCGGGAACCTTTATCATGAAGTCCACCAACAGAAGACAATAGAGATGCGGGAGCCCAAATGGTGACAACTTTTGAAAAAAATACCCAGAGGTCAAATTCTTTTTTACCATCACCTGGCAACATAGGAGTTGCCGGTTGATATCTTTCAGGCCTGATGAGTGTTTTACGACGGTTGAGCATGGAAGCTCTCCTATTAGATTCAAAGCCAGCTTCCATTTTTGATTATTATTTAGGTAATTTATTATTTTATAACGCGTTATATATGGAAAATATTTTTAGAGGGAGAGAAAAAGTTGATGAAGGGGGATGTAAAGGTTGGAATATTTCGAATATTTCGTCACTGCGAAATATTACGATTTAAAGAAAGAATTTGAATAATAAATGTTATAAAGGAAAGTTTTAAAAAAGAAAAGTATAAGGGAGAGTGAGAAGGAATACCAATAAAGGTATTCCTGTATTAAACACAAAAATGGAAGCGAAAGGTATTTCCCGTACAAAAATTTTAGATGACGAAAAATTTAAATCTTTTTTATGAACAAAATCAGGGTGTAACTGCTGTGAAACCATAAGCCTAAATTAATTGCCGAAACTTTAACCAAAGAATTCTGTAATTCCATTTTTGTATCCATTTAAAACCTTCTTTGAGTTATAAGTTTATTGAATTATGCTCGAGCTACCTGCGTAAGTTTAATGACCTATTAATGTTGTCAACCTAATTACCGAAATAGTATATCATTCGTGTTAAATCCCTGTAATTACTTTTTTAATAATTTAATACCAATCATACTATATTCCTTACATGAACTTACATGATTATCGATCACACTTGTATTAACGTAATTAAATTATATTATGTGATTAATGTGATTAATGTGATTACAATTTTTGATATATATTTCCTAATATCTGATAATGCAGGTTAGTAAATTCCGGGTCTATTATTTTTTTTTTTCTCTCTTTTTTTTCCTTTTCTTTTTTTCTTTCCTTCTATAATTTAATTATTATTTATTACCCGATTGAGGAATTTACTAAAATGGACTATAAGCCGGAAGATCATTTTAATTGTGATTTGCAGATCATACAATATCTGCCAGATTTAACTTGATTTTTTGGCCTTTCCTTTAAAAGTGTTTAAAGTGTAAACTAGTGTTATGTAATTCAATTGTCCAATCGGATTAAATCATTATCCTTTCATGAGCTGCAATTTTTTTTTTTTTTTTTCACCACGCCACGCGTCTTCGCGTTCGTGTTATTACGTTATTTACGTTATTCCTCGTGCTTTATATTCTATATATATGCACGCGCTCTATCTTACGTGATTTATATTTATAATGCCCTTAATTCCTTTGTTCCTCAATCATTCATTTTTTTATACCATTCCGTTTTTTTATATTTCTCATAACAACACGCAAACCTTCTTGGTTAAATCAAAACAAATCAGTCTCAACGCGTTAGCTAATTTCGTGTCTTTTGATTCATTATAAATATCCTCCCTTCTTCTCGCCTTTTTTCTCTTCACTTACTTCATACAAATAAAAGAATAAAACTCTCTCACCTAACTACCTAATACTCAATATTTGAAATTCGCGAATCTAAATAAAAAAAATGGCCAAAGAAAAGACCCAAAAGAAATCTAGTACTGGTAATAAAATTGTGTTTTTTTTACTTCTTTCATAACGTCCTCTTTTAATTTTATTAAAAAATTTTTTTCCTCCTCGTTTATTTTATAGTAAAGAAACTCTCACCATATAACAAGTTTATGAAGACCGAAATTGTTAAAGTAAAAGCTGAAAATCCAAATTTACCGCACAAAGATGCTTTCAAAATGGTCGCTCAACGTTGGAAAGACTCGTAAATACTCTTTTATCCCTTTTTATATTTTCGTAATAATATCTGTTATAATTTATAAATTTTCGTTCAATTTTTCTAGGGCAGAAAATCCTAAAAACCAAAACCAGAAGTAAAAAATCGTCTCCAAGAAAAAGATTGTAGTTTTTAATAATAATCAATTACATTGTATCTATGAATTTTATATTTCTTCATGCGAATTAATACTTTTTTCTTTGATTTTACATATTACTTTTCATGATAATGTATATATCTTTTATGACTTTATACCGTCTTCCAATTATTATACACTAATAAATCCTTGCCCGCCTTACATTTCTATATATCTCTTAAATGATTAAATGACTCTTAATAAATAATAAAATAAAATTTTGAACTTCTATTTTTTGATATGAGTATAAAAAAGTTCGGAACAATTAACTATGAATTTTTATTTATATCTTCCGCTCACTACACCTTTACTTTTCGAACGATGTAAAAAGATAAAACAAAAAAAGAACTAATATTTAAGATTATACTTAGCCTTTGTTTATGACGAAATGGAGCTTATTGCTTATTTTCCAAATTTCCAACTTTTCAACCCATCTTATATAATAATAACGTTTATAACTCGCCGCAAATTTGTAACTTTTTTTCCCTTCGCAGAAACTTCATACAGTAGTTCATATGACAATAAAACTTTCTGAATATTAAGTACAAACTCCTGCGCATAAAACATTATTAAGGTTTATCGATGCCGAGAGGTTCCTGATGTCCTTAGAACAAAGACATCCCTGTTTTCCTTACAAATCAAATGAATCTTAAATTATACTGTTGGATAATTATTCAAGATCAAGATTATTATATGAAAAAGGATTCATCAATGATACGACAATGATTTTAATGAAACGAGTAATACAACGTTCTAGAAGCTGTAGCAACTAACACGGTATCTTTTAAATTGTTCTCTTGTAATTCCTAACAAAGTATAAATACACTTAACTGAAGACAATAATAAAATCTTCAACTGATGATATTTATCATAATTTTAGAAAACAGAAGATCTTTTGTATACTAATAAGTCATAAATAAGGCATGTAACTTGTCCTCTCTTTATTGAAGATAACAAAGAAATAATGAACATGTGACGTAATAAATAAATAAACACGAGTTACTACAATCAAATTTCTAATAATCTAATCTTCCAGAGTCTATAGTAGTTATATAAAGTATTAATTTAATATAATGACAATTCATACACCTTCATTCCAGGCAATAACTGCCATCATAGAAATACCAATAAACATGGCTAAAAATTCGGTCATGGCTTGTTTAAGTCTAATTTTCCTAGATAATTTCCCATTAATTTCTAATAATTCAGGAATAACACCAACAGTAGCAATGTACAAGAATCCACCAGCAGTAAATGGTATAACTAGATCACTTAATACAACACCAGTACCAAAAATACCTTCAGATGCATTAATATCAACCATATCTTTAGTATTATTATTACTATCATGTACACCCCTGCTATATTCTTCAATAGCAATACCAGCTAAAGTGCCAAGGAAAGCTCCGATTGCTGTTATGAATTGAGAAAGCATGGCACGTCTCTTAGTGAAACCACTTTGAATCAATATTGCATAATCACCTATCTCATGAGGTATCTCGTGAAAGAAAACAGCGACAGTTGTAGTTGCTCCAATACTTGGTGATGAGTAAAAAGATGCAGCCATCGCTAATCCATCCGTGAAATTATGAGTTGCATCTGCTATTAGATTGAGATACGCTGATAATTTTATACTGTTTGATTGTTGCTTAGAAGTTTCATTTTTTTCTTCGTTCATTACTTTATTAGCGGATGTTCGTTGTCGAATTATTGATGAATTATCTTTTGTAGCTGTTGTTTTACCCATGTCATCATGTTGCCGATGTTCATGTTTATATTCTTTCATATCATGTGCATGTGAATGTTCTCCTTCTCCTCCATTTGCGACTCTCATTAATTTATCAATGACAAAAAATAATGATAATCCCACAAAGATTGCTGACCCAATCACAACATTCTTTCGTTCTTCCACTTGTACAAAATGCACTTCATCATCATTATTCTCTCCTAAAAATGAATGAGGCAATAAATGTAAAAATACATCACCCAATAATCCTCCTACTGCAAAACTAACTAATGAATTTAATGATGAAGGTTGAATATCAGGCGGTACGAAATATAATATGAAATTTGGTATCGAAGAAATATAAAATGTACCAAGAAGGGAGTTAACACGCGGACTTCCAGGGAAAAGAAATGAAAATACTTGCTTTGTTATTCTATTGCTTTCGTTTTCCATTTTCTCTTTTTTTTGTTCTGAAAGAGCCCGTACATAAGGACATTCTGAATAAACTGTAGTCGGCGTCAATGAATTTATTGATGAGATATCTTCCTTAACAGGTAATATAGTTTCACTTTTGACAATTATCAATAACAACAATGTAACAAGAAAGAATCCCCAAAGTCTTTGTAAACTTGAATAATTCATTTCTCTATACAAAAACGTGTTCAACTAATTTTCTGATTATGAACAATTTCTTAAAAATCAACAATACAAACAAGTTGATTAAAATATTAAAACTTTCGATCTGTTAATGTTTTTTAACACGAATTCGGATTACATAATAATGACATAGTATAGCTGTCAAATGTTGATTGGAAAGATATAAAGCGGTTGATTATCATTTATGATAAACATGATAAACACATGCCGATTTGAAAACAAATGATTTGAGATAAATAATTTGACGAAGATTTAGTTATCAGTTATTACGTTTCTTTTTTTTCGATTTCTCTCGGTACTTGAACTTTAATGCTTTTCTCCTCTTCTTTTATTACCTTTATTTTAATTAATAACTAAATTTAAATTATTAGACAAAAAACAATAACAGTAACAATATTCTGAAATCATTAAAAAGTCAATGAGCGCGCCAATTGTTTACACATTTCCAAACACACAGGAACTTTCAATATCTCTTGCTGATTTGGTGGTGAAATTATGCAAAGAGTCAATTGAAATACGTGATAGGTTTACCGTAGGAATTTCAGGTGGTTCTCTACCTAAACTTTTGGCTGCGGATTTAAAAAATCGCCAGGGTATCGAATGGGAAAAGTGGGAAGTATTTTTCTGTGATGAAAGGTAATTTTCAACTTTGTAATTCATGAATTCATTCAATCTAAAAACGAATTCCAATTTCGTGATAAATTGATTTTTTTTTTCTAATTATTTTTTAAAGACTTGTTCCATTAGATCATGAGGATTCCAATTATTCTTTATGTAAAAAAGAATTCTTTGATCATGTCTCAATCCCTGAAGATCAAATTTACACCATAAATCCTTCATTACTTCAAGAAGAAGATGAGGAGGAAATAGTAGATGATTATGAAAAAAAACTTATTTCTGTGTTTGCTACCGTAAATTCCGTTAAATTTCCCGTATTCGATTTACTTTTATTAGGAGTTGGGCCTGATGGGCACACTTGTTCTCTTTTCCCGGATCATCCTTTGTTAGATGAGAATATTGGATGGGTTGCTTATATTGGTGATTCTCCTAAACCACCACCAAGAAGAATTACTTTTACTTTACCGGTAGTTAATCATGCTCATAATATAGCTTTTGTGGCTACTGGTGAAGGTAAACAAGATGTGTTGAAAGAGATAATTGAAAATTCTGAGAGCAAATTACCTTCTGCCTTGGTCAAACCGGTTACTGGAAAATTGTATTGGTTCTTGGATGATGCTGCCGCTACTAAACTAACTTTATCAAAATAGCAAGTGATGATTAAGGGAGGCAAATTATGAAAAATATTTTTTGATTATAAATCGATTTATTTACATTATATTAATAATGGTATATTAAAGAATTATTTGTTTATATTTATTTCATTTTTATTAATGTACAGTATATTATTATTCATAATCATATATTCAATAAATACATATCAAATTATAACTAACCTTGCTTTCTTTATAATAAGATCTTATCATACAAGTCATTTTTGTTTAACGGATACAATAAAATATCAGATACATGGTGGTTACGTACAGTATCATTATCGCAATTTTCAGGTTATCACGGACATATGGTCTTCCTTTATCTTTGTATTATTAAGCTTTGCTTTCTATGCATCTGTGTAAAATATAGGATGTGTCATATAATGATATTTCTAACTTGCATTATTTAATTATAAAACATTTAATTATAAAACTAAATCGCCAAAATTTAAATATCAAATCATACAATCGCTTTAATGTAATGTTTATACTAATATATTTATTGATCTTATTAGGTTATTTCATAAAAAAAAAAGAAAATGACAATTATATCTTTTTTTTCACATATACAATACCATCAAATTAAAATAAGTACAGTATAATTAATATTTAAAATATATGCATTTTTTATATATTTTATTTCATTTATATTTATTAATTTTCTTACAAACCATATCACTTCAATATATTTGAAATGATCTTTTTAATTACCAGCTGCAGTTTTTTAACATTATTTTAATAAATTCATTTATAGCATTCTTTTTATATAAATATATTAAAAGATTAATGTATATTTCTGTAAAAATCATAGCCAAATGGAATTATATTACAATAAATTTAGTTTTTACATTTTTTCATTTGAATATTACTAAATACTGGTAAATGACATTTCATTAGAATTAAAGTAGAATTTTAAGTAGAATTAAAAATAGCATGAAACTTTACCTATTAATATTTGCTAATACTGGTATATATTAATAAAAATTACTTGCAGTAAAATTTAGCAATATCATTTTAATTTTTCGTTCAAAATTTAATATTATATAGTAAATATATTATAAATTATATAATATGTTAACCACCATAGCCAATCATAATATATGTGATATTACATTAGCTTTGAAGCATTATTTTAAACCATAAATATGCAAAAAAATCATATTAAATTATTTTATTTAATAGTTTAAAGTATTAATAGTTTAGTATAAAAATTTTGTGGCAAAATAAAATGTAATTTCAAAGTTAGCTTTAGACTGAATTTTTCAATTAATTGATATATGCCAATCATTATTTAATCAGACTTTAAAGCTTTGGGTAAAGCCACAGAAGTTTGGACAAAACTTGAAACTTTTGTGAGTTATAGATTAATGGCTTTAAAATTAATGGCCAAAATAACTCAGCATAATTTTAAATAACTCAGGAGTTATAGCCAAATTAATATTTGCAATTATTAATTATTAATATTAATATTAATAATATTATTATTTAATTTAATACAAAATTTTAAAATGCAATAACTTTGCCAAAATAAACTTGGTTGCAATAATTTACTACTATTTAATTCCTCCAATCTAATAGTATATAAATTATTAGAATATAATCAATGAATCTCAAAATTATAAAATCTGAATTTTCATTTTATTTATTAATTATAAAAATTTACATAAATTAATATAATTTCTGTTAATTTTGATTAATTTTACCTTTAAAATTGTCAAATCAAATATTATTTCAGCTTTATGTATTAACAAAATAGTATTTTAATATTAAAAGATAATTAATAAATAATCAGCAAATAATCAGTAATAATATGCCTTACTTTTACTATTAATATTTTAATTAAATAATAAAATATTTAATAATATATAGTAAATAAAATATTTATTATATATTTTTTTTAATATGTATAATTAATAATTATAAATATATAAAAAATATGCATTTATTATTAATAAAAAAGTAAAGTATAAGTTTTTATACTAAACTATTTAAAAAGTTAATAAATTACTGTATTTTCTTATTATTAAGAATCTATTTTTTATTATAAAGAATCCTAAATAATATAGATAAACTAGTTGTAAAAGTTGTTTAGTATCAATTATATAAAATTTTTAAAAGTTACCTATTTGTAGAATACTTTATCAAATTTTCTTATTCTATATACTACTGTTTTTAAATAAAAAATAATCTACTGATTGAATTTTAATAAATTTTATATCATTAGATTTGTCTTAATAAAAGAAATCTAATAATAGTAAAATTGCATTTTTAATATTAATATTAGCTGAGTTATTATAAGTTAAAATTTTTGTATAATATATAAATTTAATATCAATAAAGCATATATAAATCATTAAAAAAAAATAAAATAAAATTATAAGTTAAAATTGACTATATACAGTCTAACCTCGATATACCGATATTCGATATACTGATATACTATTAAAAACTTGATATACCGATAAAATTTTATTTTCCCACTATATGTGAGGACATATAAATATCGGTATAACTTTGATATAACGATATTTTCTAAAAATTTCATATATGTCCCGACATATCGTTATATAAAGGTTTGACTGTATATTTATTAAATTAAATAAAAAATATTTAAAATTATTATAAAGGTACTTAATTTTAGGTACTTTTATTTTAATGTTAATTTTATTCAAAAATTAATATTAATTTGCACCTAAAATTTTATTAATTGTTTAGTTATATATATATAATAAAATAATAAAATAAATTATTAGTTCTTTTCATATAATTATATGTGATTTATTTCTAAACCTGGTTTTAGCTTTTAAAAAATACAGAATCCCGAAAAATACATATGGAGGTCATAAATGATTGGCAAGATTTTGGCCTAAAATAAGCAACTTTTCAGGGCCGGAATTATGATAATGCTGGCCTGTATTAAAACGGACAATAAAATTTAGGCCGGTACTATCTAAAAAAGGCAAGATTTTTATGAAAATTTAGGTTCTTTTTAAGTAAACTCAAATGTGACCTTTTTATGTATTTTTCGAGATCCTAAAAATACCATAAAAAAAAAATATCTAAAAAATTTTTAATATTAAATTACTAAATATCTATTACTATACATTAAATTATTAAATATAAATAAACTATTTAAGTGTAAAAAAATTAGAATAATTTAATCCTTTAAAATTTATGGCATATCAAATTCTTTAAATAAAAAAAACTATTAATAATAATAAAGAAATTGCAAATATTTGAAAGAGCTGTTATTATTTTATAAGAATTATAATTATTATAATTAGAACAAATTTATTTCTTATCCAAGTGATTTTTTACCTTTCTGAATTTATATATAAAAATAACATTATGCTAATCATTAACAATCATTTCTAAAAAAAGAACAACATAATTTTTAACAAAAAAAAAAAATTTTTTTAAAATAAAATTTAATATAAGCTTCATATAGCCTTTAAAATTATAATTTATAAATAATTTAACTGCTTTACAAATTTATTTAATACCTTAAAAAAGGTTGTAAATACCATTTTTGACATTTTTGACAATTAATAATTTAGGGATAAAAAATATTAAATCTTATTCAAAGTGAGAAATAAATTTATCTTTATAATTAATACAAATTAAAATGATAATAATAAATAGTAGTAGAAATTTCTTTGGTAAAAACTGCTTTTAATATATAGTTCTTCTAAAACTGAAAGTAGTGATATCTATTTATCAAAAATTTTGATCTTATTATCAGTTTTATTATTAATTAAACTATATAGTAATAATTTTTAATTTTAATTTTAATTATATAAAATTATAGTTTTATTATAAAGATATATAAAATTATAATAGTTTTATAATTTTTTTTAAAAAAAATATTATATTTTAATAGTTTTGTGATTTACTAAACATAGATATTAAGGCAATATGTATTATATATGTTACTTATTTGATTAGTCAATATGATTATCTAACAGTACATATATAAAATTCTATAGTGAAATGATGAATAATCTACAAATTAATAATATTAAAATAGTTATATAAGTTATTTACTTTATATATAATTACTAACATTATCCTAATAAATTTGTAAATGTACTGCAATTAGCAAAAAAAAAAAATGTTTAAATTATTTTAATTTTGTTAAATAACTAAATATATTTTAATATTGATTTGCATTAATAAATCTTTTGTTCAACATTACCTTCCTAATTGCATCCATTTTGCAATTCACAGTAAAAATTATTCGTTTACAATATTTTTGGATTAAGAATAAAGACAAAGGTTTTTTAGAAAAAACTATTAATTTACTCTTATCATCAGTGATTCAATTTTATTCAGTATTATTAACTAGAAGTTTATGGTTTAGATAAGTTTTAAAAGAATTTCCTTAAAGTCTTTAAACATATAAAAAGCATTTTATTATCATTTAGGTAAAAAAAACAAAGCTTTTTCTTTAGCTTTTTTTGCTAAAAAAATAATTAAAAAATCAGCAGGTGAAAATAATTAATTCCTTTTAATATATAAAATATATTAAAATATAATTGTATTACAGTCAACTCTCTTTATAGTCACACATTTGGGACAGTCCATATTTGGTGATTATAAAGAGATGTGACTATATAAAAAATTTCTTATATTTGTATATCATAATTCCTGCCAAAAATTAACATAATTTTAGCCAGAATTATACTTAAAACTTTATTGTATTATAACCTGTCTCTTATACACATCTAGATGTGTATAAGAGACAGTGTCCCGACATATCGTTATATAAAGGTTTGACTGTA